ACTTCCACTACGACTACGACTACGACTACTACTACTACTACTACTACGACCACCACCACTACCACTACTATCACTACCACCACTACCTACCACTACTTATCATACTTCCACTACTTCCACTACAATCTCTACTACCACTACTACCTCTACTACCACTACCACTACCACAACTCCTACTGCTGCTACTGCTACTGCTACTGCTACTTCCGCTTCCACTTCCACTACTACTGCTACTGCTACTATTGCTACTACTCCTCCTCCTGCTGTTGCTGCTGCTACTAGTGAACTAGTGCAACTACTACTACTTCTTCTACTACTACTACTACCACCACCATGAAAGCAATTTAATCTAGTACATAAAATACTACATATATATATATATATATTATATAAAACACACATATATACAACTATATATATATATAGAAGTCTTGTAGCCTGGCAAAGGAAGTTGTGTGAATCTTTCTTGTTGTCTCCCTCTGTCAATCTGTCTCACCTCTCTCCTAACTCCTTCCTCTCCCCTCTCCCTCCCTCCCTCCCTCCCTCCCTCTCTCTCTCTCTCTCCCTCCCTCTCTCTCCCTCTCCCTCCCTCTCTCTCTCTCTCTCTGTTGCTCTCTGTCAGCTTTCTCACCCGACAGCGAGCCTCACGCAGTGGCAGCCCCGCTCTCCTCCGCCTGCTTCAGGCCCTGTTGATTGAGCTCGGACTCGTGGCCGCCACCGCATAGAACGCCTTGCTCATTGGCCGCGGTCTCCCCATGCCGCGTGAGGAAGAGCCGCGTGTGGGACTCCAGCAGCGGAGGCAACTGGGACAAAGCCTCCTAGGTGTGCCGCATGTGCCACCGGTGCTGCATGCGGTAGTGTTTGTGCAGCGAAGAGGCTCAAAAGGTGGTGGTTTAAAGATCAAGCATTTCCTATTGTCTTTCTGTCCAAACCTCATAGTTCGATCTGGGAGAGTTTTCTCCCGAACTGTCAGCCATTCTTGAGGAACACGAGGATTCAGAACTGTGGGAGCCTTCTGGCCACGTTTCAGCCGCCCCGCCCGCCAGGATGGTGGTAGAATTTGGTGTGCAAACAATGCTTGTTCTTTGATACTAAGTGGGTATACTACTACTTGCAGGTTTAAGTAAAGACGGCCATAGTGAATTGATACTGAGCCAAATGATTTTGAAAACAAGACTGCTGCCAGTCAGTTCTCGACTGCCAGTGGGACTTTTGAGGAAGTGCAACTCGTGTGCCTCCCCCACGCACGAGTGGCGCCACGTTTCCTGCAACTGAGCACTGGTGATGATCCCAGGCATGTCCTGAGGCGGCCCCGGGATGTTCTGACACCAAGCTCTGGCATGTGCTATTTCAGGGCAGCGGTTGTTGTGTGGAGGAACAGCCGGTTTTCCGCTTCGGAGAGCGATTCCGATCGACTCGTTTCACCTGTTTGGTTGGCATTCTCAAGTAGACGCTAATGAAATATGTTTGGCTGTGAAGATTCTCTCCATGTTGCTGATGGCCTGTCAGTCACCACCTGTCTGTTTTTCGGCATACACAATACTACACTGTCTCCGCAGTGCGCCAGTAGGTAACCAATAGAATAAGCACTCGGGATTTCCCGGGTTCGTCCACTCGTCCACTCCACTCGTCCACGTCGTTTGTCTTGGCACCGGTCCCATCCGATGGTCCGGTCCGTGCACTGAACCGAGTGGAGACCGTACGGTCCCATCCCACAAGCTCCATCCCAATCTGCAGGTCCTGGACCTTCTGCGTCCATGGCTTCAGGAAAGGGTCTTCTTTGAAGCAGGCCTTGGAGGAAGGCTCCTTCAGAGTCAGGAGTGAAGGAAAAAACATGTGCTGAGCACCAAGGCTTTGGCACACCAAGGCGTTGGCTTTTTTTGGAGGGCACGAATCGGCAGGAGAGTGGTGCTGGTGCTGGGAGAGACGATTCAACGCTGTTTCGCTCCCAAACACCGGAAATCGTCCTTTCGACCCTTTTCGTTGTCACCTGGGACTACTTACTTATGCCACAACGCCATTCCATGAACACTTGAGGCTTGAAAGTCGGATTCTAATCTGAAAGCCACTATTGGCCAATCTGGCTTTATTCACATTTCTGGCAGTTGGCAGGCAACTGTTCCAATCCAAGCAGCCAGGCTCGGAATTTCGAGTGACATCCTGCAGAAGTCGCCATCTTTTCCAATCTCCGCCTTCAGTTGCTCGAGGGACTCGAACTTCACCTGCAAAAAGGCCCGCCCTCAGCAACTCCTCCACAAGTAAACATTGCAAACTCCAACGGCGAGTTTGAACCATGAAGTTTATTTCAGCAAGTAGTTACTCACTGTGCCATGGTGCATGTGTATATATATATACACTGTGTACTTTACTACTACTATTTACAAAAATATGTTAAGTCATGTATATATATATATAATACTATATTCTTATATATTTGTATATGGTTCCTGTTTTACTATTGTCCTGTTACTAGGGGGAAATGACGTGAACGTGCACACTGTTGGAATGCGGTGTCTATGACAAAGGGTGACACGAATACGTTGCCTTGGAAGATCTACCAAAGAGTTTTTGTCATTTTAACAAGAGTCTTGAAAAAGCTTTGATGTCCATCTTGGGTTCCTCGATTCACGGCAACCATCTTTTGATGATCAAAGCAAACCTCATCTTTTGCCAACTGCAGTGCAACAAGGGACGCATGTCCATGGATTATCCTTTGGTGATTAGGCTTTGATGCTGAACGTTCCATCATGGCCTGTTCAACACACATCGTCGCCTCTGGCCGGACGTATGCCACCACCAGCAAGCGCAAGTGACAGTCGTAGAAGTCCTGTGGACGGATTGCACAGTCGAAGGCTTTTCCGGTGTGAGTGACTCATAGATGACTCCGCACTCACATATGACCGCATGGTGAGATGACGATGTTCGGTAATTTTACCAAGCCACATGTAGGGTCACTCTGTGACCGGTCCGTGGACCGGTGGGACGACGTTGGGTTCGCCAAGCCCAAAGGGAAATAACCATATATATATATAGCTATCTACATGATATATAATATAACATCTATATACATTTATGCAATCATGTGTATTATATATCCATGTCCATCCATTTCCTTGTTTTCCTGTCTGTTCAGGACCACCTTGATTGAGGTGGGAACCTCAGCGCCCGCAGGCCGATTTCTCGCCGCTTCCTCGCCGCGGGGAAGAAGCTCCTCATCGAAGTGGTGTAGGATCCATGGCTCAATGGTCTTGGCCTTGACGTCTTCGAAGGTGGGGTTCCAGCCCATGCCTCAGGTCTTTATCAAAGGATGAAGCCTTGGTGAAATGGGTGTCTAATGGTGTGTAGCTTCCCTTAGCAAAAAACCCACAGGCGTTCTAAAGAGCAGTCTACCCAGCCAGGGCCAGGGTGTCTCCCAATTATACCCAGCCAAGTTGGCCCTTCCAGAAAAACCGCTTGATACCACGACGACACCGGAGACTCCATGGATCTCCCATCCGCTGTCCAGCGAAGACTCCGCTGTCCCAGTCGTGTCTAAGAAGCACAGGATGTGAAGCACTCCATGTGGGGTGCTTCAAACCCCTCACACAGGTCACTCAAAAAAGGCACCGAACGGGTGAACTCCTGGGTCGCGGGCTCATGGCCACTGGGTGAACTTCTTCTCCTCCCACACCTGCCGCACGTCCAGCCCAAACACTGGATCCAACGAGGAATTCTTGGAAAGGCAGCTCCATAATAGGATCAAAGCCATCATGCCGCCATTTGTCACCCACACTTCCTCTTATGCTTTCTTCAGATTCCTTCAGTCACCAAAATTGCTTTCGATCCTTCACTGGTTGGCCCCCTTTTCCCACGCCTTCTTCGATGGAGCCAAAGGCACAGTAGATCCCCGTGCGGTGTGACTCCGCGAAGTGCCGCAGCGCCCGCTGATCCCCCGAGGAGGTCGCAGTGGCCTCCTCGGCCTTCGAGTGGCAAGTGGGGATGGTTTTGAGGAGCCCTTAGTAGCTTCTTGTTCCTAGAGTGTTCCTAGTAGTAAGGCCAGGAGCCCCTAGTAGCGTCCTTGCTCCTAGTAGCGATGCCGATGCTGCTTCTCTCTTTCAGGAGCAAGTTGGAGTCCGGATCTTACTTGATCTTAGCATTTTTTTTGCATGTTCTGATGTTCAAAATGCGTTTTTGATCGTCTTTTTTCGTCAAGACATGTCAAGACTGCCCCCTCTGTCTCCTTGCTCTCCCAGCTTTCCTCCTGGATCTCGAGGTTGGCTGTTGGAAAGCCCAGCTCCTTGGATCCTGCAAGGCTCTGGGGGTCCCCAGGTGGTGCACGAAATGAAAGCTCCCAAAACTGATTATTATATAGAGCCTTAGGTGGAATGTATGAGTCTCAAATGGAGTAAAACATATAAAAACAATGTGTTTTTTCACATGAAGCTGGTCGGTAGAAACATCTTGCACGGCGCTGATGTTCAGGTTTCATAGGGTTTGACATGGGTCTAAATGGTGAGGTTTCGGGGGATCCTGTTTCCTGGTAGGTTTTATTGACCAGTGGACCATTGCTCATCCAAATGACCAAGCTCGCAAAGTCTATCCCCGAGCTCGCCGATGTCTTTCATGAAACCCTGAGATCCATGGGTGCGACCGCTGTCGAAGTCCTTCGACCGCTGTTTGTCTACAAGGCCGTAGTCTGCCTGGGGGTCGGCTTCCCAGCAGTGGCTGGAAGCAAGCCCTTAGAAGGGTTGATGTGCAGCATTGGTTCGCTACAGCAAAGATTTCGAGTCTTGCACTGTCTCAAGCCAAAAGTTTTGGTCTCAAGCCAGAAGCTCTGTCCACCCTATTGAAGCCTATTGCGTTTCGAAGCACTCTTTTCCTAGACGTGTAGCTGTTCTATTCTGACAAAAGGACAGCTGGGACCAAGGTCATGTGCTCTCAATTCTGCGGCTTAAACTAAAGCTGCACCCATCAAGTCTGCTCACATTGTTGTCCTCGAATGGATGCAAGGCAGCCCTCTCTCTCTCTCTCTCTCTAGGACTCTAGGTGATTCCAAAAACCTGGGTTTCCCAATAACCCCAACCAGCTCATCACTGATAGGTGGGATGCTGTAAATCTAGCCTGACTGCGTGGAGGCCCTTTGGTTTCCAACACAAAGAAAGCAAGCAACCTGCTCACAAGTAGGGCCACTTCCAAGGTACCTGCAGGACTCCAGTGATTGACTCCAAAGTCGCTGATCCTACAAAAACAAATCCACATCCTCACTTGAAATGGAGGTCTTCCAGTCTTCGGCGAACATCCAGAATCCAAAAAGGAATTCACATCCAACCCCTGGCATCTCTCTCCTCGACCAAAGCCATGAACCACTTTGCCACGGAGTCGCACCGGCGTAATCAAGCAAAGCTCTCGTTCCATGGCTCGCTATCCGTTTGCTCGCGTCGGCCGTCGTCTCGTCTCGTCGTCTCGTGACTCGTTCGTGAGCTCGTCCGGTGAGGAGTTCCCAAGTAGCTTGGCTGGTCGTGGCTTGGTCGCGGTGGACGTTTCAGGACGATGAACATTATGAATGTAGATTGAGCAAATGCGTCAAAAGCAACGTCTGAATAGACCTTCTCTCTTCTTACATTATTCTTCGAACAAACATTGAGGGGATGGGATTATCGATTGAACAGAACTGGGAATGGATTTGGGTGAGGACCGGGGATTCAAACATCATCCAACGCAGTTGTTCAGTGGCTCAGCCGCAGCGCCTATCTGGCAGGCCGATCCAAGCTTCATTTTGGAAATGGTGTGGATTTTTCAGGTCTCGTTTTGGGCAAAGAGTCTGGATTTGATCCCAAAAAGGATCCATTATCTGAGCCTGTGGAACTTGTTTTTTTGGGGTGGAAGTCACATACCTTGTCAACATCCCTCTGGCATAATCGTCATATAACGGCTTCTTTGAGCGACTGAAAAACCCGCATCGTCGAGGCCACAAACAAGAACCTGAAGAAAAGACACACTCGCATCAACTGTCACATGCTAACCTTGGATTGGCTGCATGTGCGAACCCATCTTGATGGACCATGCTTTTGGCTGCTGGTCTTCCATTTGGATGCGTACTGGACTGGAGCAAGATGGCAAAAGGGCTTTCCCCACCTCAATTCATGAGAGTCCCACATTCCTCAAATGTTGCGAAGAACCCGCTCAACAGCCTGTTGGTGGAGGAAAGTTATATCTTTCCTTATCTAATTGCATCATGATAGCTGATCAAACGTGGAGTCTCTCCCACAGTACTCCTCCGCAGCGTCTTGAACCGGTGGGTATACAAATCTGATACATCAGCTGAAGAGGGCCCTGGTTGGACTGCTTTCCTGGTTGTTTTCGCTTTCAGAAGAAGAATTCATGTGGATCAAAACATCATCAATGAAACAGGGAACTTGGTGGAGCAGGAGTTTGGGATGATTTCATTTTCTCAATACTTTTCCTCTTTACGTTGAGGCAAACTGAGAAAACCAGTGTTCTTTTCGTTCGAATCCTCGAGTTGATGCTCCATCCAGATGAGTTGCAAAATGGATGAAACTCCACATGGTGATACGCCGACAAATATTTGCTGCCCGATCTGCCTGCATTCTTCTGTACAATGTTGACTTTTGATTTATAACTCCCCAAACTTCGAGATGTAGTCCTGGTCGGTTGAATTCATCAATATTCAACATTCCCCGACACTCCATGTATGCCCTAATGCCTACCTTGACCCCCCAAACCAAATCGGCATATAATATGGCAGTCCCATGGAGTGTCTGGGATTGACATTCTTCAGATTGATTTCTCTTTCCAGCTGGAGGCCATCAGGCCATCGCTACAGGTTGGAGGCCATTCCTTTTAGGTTGGATGTCATCGCTACTCTTTGGCTTGGATTTCGCCGTCTTCCCGAGCCGAGCTCTCGCACGACATCTTCGCGACTCCACCGTGAAGCGTAGGAGCCCCTGTGTCGCATCGTACATCGCCTTGGTGTCGAGCTAAGGTGCCGGTCTCAAAAGGGACACACCGAACGCCTCAGTCATCTGAACGAACCAGAACAACACGAACCGGGCTCAGTCGACCTGTTGGGGGCATGTGTTCTCTCCTGTGAGGAGAGGAGAGTCCGCCGATTTCGGTCGGTTGCTGCGTTAGCTGAACTTGGCATCCAAAAGCAGCTGAGCTGAACCACCTGTTTTTGGTCAAAGAAGGGAGACAGCCAAGCCTCCACTCACCACTTCGGTGCCACTTCGGTGCCGCTTCGCTGGGCCCTTCACCTCATGCAGCTTCACAATGCCAAGGCCCCGTGCGGTGATGGACTCTTCTTCACACGAACCAGAGCTTGGCCTGGTTGGGAAGGCATGATGGCAGTTCTAGTTCTACAAAACTCGTCACTACTATAATCTACTATACTATAACATACTATAACTATACCCAAGCAATGGAACAGTTGTGGATCAATTGCAAAATCTGTGGTACAGAAGGACAGTGGCATCTCAATGGCTTGTTGGAAACTTGGATGGCTTGTTGGAGCAAGAACCCACCTCTCCACCTGGTGGACCAGGTCACTGGTGACTGTCCACCAGACTATCCCGACCGAACGGTCACGATATCCATGACATGTGAGGGAAGAGTTTTTGCGTGCAAAATCGGAACTTGCAAACAATCGGTTGGCAGAATACTGCACCAAAACAACCGGTCGTGAGCTTACCACCCATTCAGGCGTTGGGATCATAGTGCGAGCAGCCTTCTTTGGAATGAGTAGATAAAATGACTCATGGTTACAGTTACAGTGCAAAAGTCAAGGCATAGTACACTACAACCTATTGTTATCACTGCCGCCCAAACTCTTAGAACATGGATGGCCATTTTCTTTACTTCGGCTGATCATATCTGCATCCTGCTCTTGATGTGGGCAGCTCCGTGAAAGTAGTCCTTGTTCCAAGTCATATAACAAAGAGGGACGGCCGCAGCGATCTTCCTCCATCTTCACCAGCTTAAAAATTTCCGAATCCGCCTGCACATATATATATATATATGTACACACTCTTCTCTTTGTGCAGTGGTTAAAAGCTCCAAAGCATAGCTTTCACAGCTCCAGATGGTTATTTCTTCTAGATAGGAAAGAAGGGAACAGGGGTCACATTTTTGTCAACCTCACATAGAGACTCCCAAAGCACACAAGCGGGTCACAGGGTCGACCCTCCCAACTGGGTCTCCCGAGCTCGCAAAGGTCTAGCGACTCCTGGTCTGAGACAGGGATGATGAGATGATGGAGCAGGCCACGCAGGCCTCCCTCTCCCTCTCCCTCTCCCTCCTTCTCTCTCTCTCTCTACCACAGCAACAAACAATGACAAGAATGCATGCATGTGCATGCTAGCTGATCAAACCAGGTGCTATGTACTGTAATTAGACAAAACAATACAAGAACCAAATACCCTTCGTCACGAGCATCACATGGAGATCGAGGGGTCTCCTCTTTAACGGAATGCTTGTACATTTTCGTCCTCCAACAGGTATCAGTAGCTCCATGCGGGACAATATAACAAGATCTTCAACGTTCCAGGCTATATTCCAGTCGCGTCGTCCGCGGCTCCTTCTGGATCTGTTGTCCAAAAACGTTGATCTCACCATCGTAGGCGTCACACACCGCTAGGCTTTCGCTCTCCTCAGAGACGTGTGTTCGCTTGTGCGAGGACATCCACCGTGGCGTTCGCTCGCTCGCTCGCGGCCTCCCACCAGTGGAGGGAGGATTCGATGTGGCACCCGAAGCTATGCGTTTGCTCCAAGACTCCAGGATGTCCACCTCCTCCATGCGGGCATCCGCAGTCCCAAAGCCCAGGCCGAGCACCTAGAGTAGCGGCGGATGGCGTTCGCGGGGCCCGGACGGAAGGGCCGGCATATCCAAAGGCGAATAGCCAGCTCAGTACTGCCTGCCCCCTGCCTGCCCCTACAGTACTTGAAGGAGAGTATCCGCTCTCCAAACCAAGCTCCCAAAAACATTTGAAGAGCTTAATGTCCACGGCTAAACAATAAACCCCCCCGATCAAGTGCAGGCCCCAAATAGTGTGAAATCCAGAAAAATCCTAGAAAATCTTGATTTGAATTGGAAATGAAAGGAAAGGAAAGGAGATTGAAGGAAAGGAAAGAAATGAAAGGGAAATAAAAGGAAATGAAAGGGAAACAAAAGGAAATGAAAGGGAAATGAAAGGAGAATGAAATGCCTCTACTGGGTGCAGTAGATGCAGGTATTCAGCAGGGTGTTTGTCCTGCGATGGCCAAAAAGCTCTCACCTATTTCATGAGAAAGGAGGCCAGCAGCAAAGATAAAGTACCAAAGTTTGAAGGACCAGGGGCTGAGGAATGGGGTCTGTTGTCATTGTTGTTGTTGTTGTTGTTGTTCTGTGTGTGTGTGGTGTGTCTATGCCTGGAGCTCAGAATCAAGATTTGGAAGCAGCTGAAAGCTCAGAGTGGAAGCAGCTGAGAGTATATAAAATAATATTGAGTTTTGGAGTCAGCCCCAAAAACAAGAGCCCAAAAAGTTTAGCATTATTTAGGGGACATTCTTTTTTTTGAAAAAAATTAGCATTATTCACGGGCATTTAGTGTTATGAGGTCAACATTAGGGATTCTTGTAGCAGAAAAACACACAGGACCCATCGAGGTTGGCCTCTCTTTCTCTTCCAACCCAAGGCCTTTTGATGCCTTTTGCAGGCTCCCCGGCCGTGCCACCGTTGGGGCCACACACGTGTGTGAAGGTAAATCGCACCTCCCAAAGCTCCTGCAGCAACCGTCAATCTGCGGAAGGGGAGAACGCACACACACAATATTGTAGGGACTTAAAGAGGTGCATTTTGCAACTGTTTTTCTTCTCAGGCGCATCTGATCCTCTCACAATGCCCAGTTGGTTCCCGAAACTCATGTTCATGTGGCGATTTAGGTTCTCTGCTTCAGATTTAATCCCCCTTCATCGATGGAATGGACGGAAGAGCTCTATCCCTCATGTCCATACACCCCACATCACTCCGCCCTCCCCTTCCGTCCGCGGTCTCCTGCGGGCTTCCGAGTGTCCACTGTACCAAACGCCCGAGATCATCATCTGCCAGCTGGTAGGCCTCGAGGGTCTCTTGCGATGCATAGACCTGCACTGTCGACCAACCGGACGGACGGGGGGGTGGTCAGTTGGTCTGTATACCCAAAGTACCTGGTGAGTGGGTCGAGGGGGTTTGCAGATTTTGAGGTGAACATATAAAGCGCAGGGTCAAATGTGAGTCTCGGTATTGTGAATGGGCTGTGGGTAAGTATAAACAGCAAAATATTCAACCACTGTGGGCAATAATGGAGACCGGCACTATAGGTCAAAACATTTGCACGTGTCGCATCTAGTGGTTCGGATACATGATGTGTCCAGTAGGTCATGATGTCATGAGGCTTGTAAACTGCTGGCATGTAACATGCCGCAAACCTAGGTGTCAAAATACGGCACCTACAATAATTCACGGGCTCAAACTACGACCAGTGTTAGATTTATACTTAACACTCCACCCAATCATATCAGACCCTACCCTATTGGCCTTTGAGGCAACCCAACATATCTCCTCAGAAAACCTATCCTTTGCCTGGCGGATGCCCGGGTGGCATGCAACATCATGCAACTCTTTCGTTTTATGTTTTTTGCAAAACGACCGCCGTGAACTTTTTGGTCCAAACGCGTGCCGTCTTGGAGCACACCACAAACGCCAGTCTGCTGGGTGACATTATGCGATTCTGCTGGTATTGACACAAAGAGTCTGGGTGAAATGATCTATTTAAACAATACCTAGACCCTGACCTCCATTTTAGACCGTCCAAAACATGGTCTTTTCCTATCAAGACAGGGGTTATGTCTGGGTTCTAGGTGTCAAGAATTATATTGCTTCCGGTCCTCCTGAAATGAGTAATCCCTGAACTTTTAAAAAGGGTCCTCCCGCTACATGGAATAATTGAAGAGTTCAACTGTTCCGTGATGTTCGGTGTTTTAGTCTATCAGTCTGTGATCTCGACTCTGGATGGACCTCGGGCCGTGGACCTCCATGGATCAGATAGTGTACGTGAAGGAGATCATCAGATCAACCGGCCAATTGGCCGAAAGGCATAGAAATCACTTAAGTGGCAGGCAGTTGACATACTTCCCAAGTTCAGTCAGATTTGCTCCGAACATGGATCAAGGTAAGCCAGCCTAGCTTGCATCCCTCCCAAACAAGGCCAAAGCCACGCCCACCCAACATACCCTCCCAGGCCTGCTTGCCGAAGCGGCGCACGGCCAGCGGCATCTCTAAGGAAGAAATGTCTCTTTGTGCAGCTTTACTGGGTATAGCTGGTGTCCACCATACACACTTGTGAGATGTTGTGAGGCTATGGACACACATTCGTCACACCGAGTCATATCAAAAGTCATATATAACAAAGGGTTGGGTCACCAAGAACGGACTCTGTTGCTAAAATGCATATTCTGTTTTTCCATGCCCTGACCCCCAAAATGCTCGAGTAAGGGTTCAAGGTCATGGAAGCAACTTCAGCCTTGTGCCGGAAAAGTGGCGGCGAATTCGCCAGCGGCGAATTCGCCACGATCGATGTCCCTCCCACGGACCAACCGGCCAAACGTCCGACAGACGGGCGAAACGTCCGAGCGTTCGGGTCACCGGGTCGGGTTTCGTTGAATCGGTGAGCATGGCATGCTTCAGCCATAGAAGCATCTGATCAAGTTACACATATATGAATCGTCGTTAATGTATATGTTGTGCATCTATTTTGGGTTGATGTACAATATAATTGTGACGCCCAATGTCTGGCTACAAGCCCAGAACGAGATTTACTTGTTTTTTTAATATGAAGAGGGAAGATTGCCATATATGAAAAATCTATGAAATTTGTTTGGATAGATTTCTGGGATTGATGTGTGTAATTAGTGTAATTAGCTGCTGATTAGCTTGTTATTTGTTGAATTTATTGTGGTTTGTTTCTTTTATTTGAGGCAAGACCAGCTTGCTCTTTCTTTCTTGCAGGGGGTCTCTTGTAAGTTCATGGACAAAAAACATAGTAAGTATAGTAGCTATAGTAGACATAGGTTAGAAAGGTAAAGACCCATTCGACTCTTGAGAAGCAGTCAGCACCCACGACATTGCTGCACTGCTAAACTCTTTGCCATTGCCCAATCCTACCCCTCTTGCTTTTTGAATCGGCGTCTGCATACAGCATCACACAGACACGTGGACAGCAAATGCACAAAAAAGGGCCAATCAGTTGCAGAGGAGGCTGTTTGCAACGCAGCCAACAGAAAAACAATTTAAACATCATACCGAGCACCATAAACTTACAACATGCCTGGATCATAAGTAAAACACAACAAATACATTAAAACATATTTGCGCACCAATGCCCTGAGGCTACTCAGGGATTCACAACAACTATAAATTTGAAGCCCCAAACTCCAATCCTTCGGATCTCAGCAGCGAATCTCTCCCAAACTCCAATCGTTCGACCCTGGCAAACAACGACGACCGGACCACTGTTCACCGTTTCGACGCGAATTTCGATGAATTTCGGAAAAACGGCAATTTGGGAGGGAGCCTTCATATCCAGAGTCTTGTTGCGATGCCCCTTGTTCCTGGTAGCTTCTGCTCGGTTGAGAGCCAGAACACAAGTTTGGGGGATGGATATTGAAACCACGACGCCCAGAACACTTCTGACCTGAGGGTTGCATGTCCCTGGGTGGCCGGTGGCTGTGTCTCTCCTGTCCCATTCGGATCTCCTCTCTTTCTTGCCCGAGAGCAATCGAACGAAGTCGAGTCGAATGCTCCGTGAAACAGAAGACTCAGAGTCGTCAGGCTTCTTTTCCGCGAATAGACTGACCATGATTGGCCCAAAAACGATGTGTGCTACGGTATGCTACGGTACATTTGCACATATTTGCACAGTACTTTTCCAGGTCTCGCGGCTTTTTGGCCAAACATTCTCAGGCCATTGACCTAAACACTACATCCGGGCGGACACCCCGGGAATTTCACGTCACCAGCTCTTTTTTGAGTGTATCCAGAAATCCCAGCGGAGCAGCTTGGATGGAGCTTCAGTCCACGTAGTGCTCTTATGGCTTTTAATTGGTGGTGATCCCCTTAAAGGCTGATGAGATCTTGATAGGGAAAAGGATGGAAAAGGAGTCCGATTTCGCTGTTTCGGTCCGATTTCACATGGTGACCGCTGAATACAAGCCGCTCTCTTCCCGTGATCCGCCCCGATCCACCTTCAGGTGGTCCAAAGAAGCAAAGCGAAGAACCAACATCTGAACAGCGATTCACAAACAAAATCTGGCCCCGCTAGAGGTAGCTAGTAGTAGCTAGAGGTAGTAGGTATTAGGATAGCTCACGCACTAATCATTTGCTTCCGGGAACCTTAATTGATTTCTGCTCCAATTTGCACACAAAGACAACCCACCGCGAATGCTTGCGTTTTTCTGGTTTGCTTGAAAGAAAGCACACCCCTCCAGCAAGCTTCCACCAGTTGATGCTTTAGTTCGTTCTGTCAGGAGCTTCGCTTCACCTTTCCCAGGTCCAGCCGTGGCACCAGCCCCGGCCGTGGCCCAGTGCCCAGCACACCCACGCTACGGGCGGCCACACCCACCGCATACCCTGCGCCCACACTGCTGCGAGGGCTCAGGGTCACTGGGCTGCTGGTGCGCAGCAGGCCGGTGCGGGGCGTGTAGCGAGGAGAGGAGATCGAGGAGATCACCTGAGCGAATCCAAGGCGGATTCCAAGGCCATCATGTCCTAATGGCCATGGATTTGCAATGGATTCCAATGATTCCAATAAGACCACCTTATGCACCTTGGTAGAACCAAATGCGACCAGTGCGCAACTCGCCCCCTCAGTGACCTTGTGACCGACAAATCAGGGGCGCTCAGTGAAGTAGCCATCCCTTGCCTTGCACCGAACTGTGGTGTCACAAGATTCTTTCCAGCGACACGGGTCGCTACGTGGTCAGGCTTGCTTGCTCACTTGGTGATTCCTGTGAGAAGCCCTTCATTTCTGTCTCTCACCATTTCTGTTGAACCCATTTCAGTGGAAGTCTCAAAATCCCTTGAAGTCAAAGCGTATGACGAAATACAAAGGTTTGTGGCCCGTGGTCACCTCCCAGGAAACTTCCTGAATACTTTAAATTTACTAGAACAATGAGTACAGTAGTTATATCTGACTCATAGTTGGACTTCCGGAGCATACCCACTGACTCATCCAAACCAGCTAATAAAGCTACCTCCAACATGGACTTCCTCGCAACCACCCCCCGCACCTCGCAGCGTCCCGGTACCGGGGAAGGCGGAGGCGCCGCTGGCACCGCAAAGGAGGCCTCCGTAGTTGATCGACGGGTGGAGGAGGAACCGCACCGGGTGCGTTTTGTTTGGTGGCCTGAATTCGTTTCATGAGTCTTTTAGTTGCACAATGTTGCACTTGTGTCCTGCAGCTGTGAATGCTCTTCATTGCCACTTAGGGTAAGAAGAAACAAAGTAAGTAAAGGCTTTTCCCGGTACAGTCATCTACTGTCTGGTTTGGTGTGGATTGGTTTTGATCTCTACTGATCTGATACAGGCCTGATCCAAACAATTCCAAACGTATAGTATAAAAGCAAGACCATCTAATCTAGCTGTCAAAATCGCGCACCTCTGCTCTACTTTAGATTCCCGCCCCACCAGTGTTGTTTGAATCAACACTGACACCTTGCCAACATGATGCCGGACGTGCGATATGTGACAATGTCAACATGTCAATATCCAGCTTTTTCGTTGCTGGGACCATATCAACCTTCTCTCCAAAGAAATGGAAGCAGGATGGACTTGTGGTTGCTTGACCTGAGTTTCTTTTGGAGGACTCGCACCATGCCGCGGTGTGTTGGCGCTTCGACGCTCTATAGAGCGCACCCGACCATTCGCTCGGGTGCGCGACGAGTTGCCCGCCTGCCAGTGATCTCTTGGGGTATGAGACCGAACCGGTAGTTGCATAGATCCTGCCCGCGAACCGCGGTGAGCCACGGAGTCCGGACCGCGAAGCCGGAAAGGACGCACTCGAAAAATTCCAAAAGACCCCAAGAATGAGGAACCACCTTGGTATACCTCGGTGTTTTTCCGCACTGACAGAAGTCTCTTTCCAGGAGTTCCAGGTGTCGTTTGGATTTCTTGGCATCAAGCCTTGGTCGGGGCACCTAGGCCATGTTTTCATGGGTTTACACCGATTGTTGATTTACATTGGTTGCATCAGCAAGACTCAGCAAGCCATCACGTGTAGGGTTCCACTCTTACACCAGCCTTGGGCAAACCTTGTGCGTCTCTTGCGCAAGCGAAGCAAAACTACACTTTCTGTTTGATAGTATTTTTGTTTAACACTTTGCGCAAAAGCCCGTGCACGAAACCTTGCGCCGATGCAGGTTTTTAGAATATCCAATATCAATCAACAACAATCACCTCGCGCTGATTACCATGTGCGTTTTTTTGGACGACTCCCACCTGAACCCAAAGCTGACGGAACCAAAAGTCACCATGCACCTGAAACATCAACACGATTAACCACGTCATCAAGACGTATCAAGATACCGAAGAATACCGAAGATATAGTTGTGAGATCGAAGCCGAAGCTTGTATAAAGTCACAGTTCCTTGAACCCATGTTGCAAGAGCCTTTTCTCCTTCACAGTTTGCAGAGGCAAGTTGCAATTCCTACATTCCTACATTAAACTCAAAGCATTGCCAGCAGATGCCAGCAGTGGTGCAGTTTGTTTGACTGAGCAGGGCAGGCTAAAGCCAGTGGCATTTGAGTGCCAGTCACCGAAGCCGCTGTCCGGCTGGCCCCAAATACTTACTGTACGCGACGTGGGACGTGGGACGTGCTGCCAAATGACCTTACAATCAAATACAACATACTCATCCGATGCCGCGAATCACATAGCATCACCACGAGAACAGCATTCTGGCTCGGGTGCACGACATAGTCCCTTTCTTGATTCATAACACCCCCGACGTTCTTCATTTCAATCCACATAAAAATTGTAGCAATCTAATCAAGATTCTACAACGACAAGCTGGATGAGTTCCAAGCTTCGATCCGTTTCTTACGACGTGGGCGAACGATGCTCCACGTCAACGTCCACTACCAACGTGGGGTTCATGTTGGTGTCTCCGTTCGGAGGCCCTGATGTTCGGCCCTCTCAGACCATCCCGGGAGACTCTGGAGACCGTCCCAGAGATCTGGTGACCGTCCCCGGCGTGAGTTGAGTGGAGTTTGACTTCGCATGACGGCACCTGATCTGGACGGCAAGGGGCTGTTGGCACCAGCACCTGAAGCCTCGGAGGGGAGAGCCTCTCAGTTCCTGTCTCTGTGCTCTCTCTGTTTATGTAGAGGTGAGAGTCATTCCTTCTTCTTAGGGCCTTGAGTATCCCTTATTCTTCAGTTGCACAAGTAAGCCCTTGTTCCGGAATGCGGCGTGTGTTGAACGTTTCAATTGGAATGGATTCCGGTCGTTCAACATGAGCACCCTGATTCCTGACTCCTTGACGATCATGGAAATTTGCCCGACCTCCTTACCCCTTTCCCAAAATATGATCAAAGCCTTTGAACCGAATTCAACATCATGAACCAGCATGCCGGACACGACGCAGGCGAGATCGACGACGCCGGTCAGTACGTGGAGGATCCCGGCCAAGCTGAAGGATTGGCTGGACGGAATCCTCGCTTCGGTTCGACGCAAACAGGCACCGGGCGGAAGCCTTTCCACGAGGTGGTTTTTTAAGTGACATGTAGGGTTGAAGTTGTTGGGGAATGGCAGGTTCGAGATGGGAGGTTCATGCTCACACGCGAGGAGACCAATTCGTGTTTGTCGGGAAGGCTCGTCCACAGCTTCAACCAAACAGGCTCCGACCTTGTTTTCTTTTCCTTCGCAGCTTTGACCAGTTGATGTGATCAAGCTGTTGCTGAGGAGATCTGGAACGATCGAAAAGCAGCCTGGAAGAGGCTGTTCTACTTATTGCAGTCATATTGCGGTCAAAACCTATTTCATATGGACCATGACTATTGGTTCACCAACTAAGGTTGAATAACCCTATAGACTATCACATAGGTACCCTATAATGTCACTCAATAACCTCTCTTGGCAGGTGAGGTAAATGTTTCCATTGTGGCAGAGTCTTCTGACCTGGTCCCAGGGCATCATTTTCACCCTTTCGGGGCCCTGAAAAGTCCTGAAAAACGTCGGCCACAGCTCTTGGAACTCGACTGAAACCTTTCAACCCAAGGCCATAAGGGAAATCCATAAAAAGATCCATCGACATCCACAGATGTCCAAGGCCGTCATTCCTTGCATCGACATCGGTGCGACCTTTGAACAACCCGTCGAATCCCGTCGTGCAACCAGCGATCGCTCGCTCCGCACGAGGCGACAGGCGTCCCGCACTTGGCAGGCGCTGGATCTTCACGTGCGACACCAGGTTTCACCTGAAGCTCGACCCGCAGTTTTCCGTGCGTGCCACGTTAGGGCCTAAAAATAAAGAACATCCATCTGAAGTGGTGCTTACCATTCCTGGTGGTAGACTCCTTGGACTCCTTGGTCAGATTTGAGACAGTTCCATGGAAGATCGCATTCAAAAGCTTACCGTCAGTTCCTCCAATCAGTTCCAACTCGTAGGCCACACTGGTGCCCACACGGTAGGCCATACTCCTCCGGGTGCGACCCGCGGACAACCGCACGGTCCGTGGCCTTCACCGATGCACCCGGTCCGCGTGACTCGGGCGGTCCGCGTAGATGGGTGACAGACCTCAAGCGGTGCTTGGCTCAAAGAATTGCAGAAAAAACCTTAGAGATGCCAATGACTTGGGTATATCCCATATTATCCCTTTCCCTGGGCCCAGTGGATGATGAATCATTTTGAATGAATCCCGAGCGTTCGTTTCATGATTCATCAATTTAATGTGATGCAAACGACCAGCTTCATTCCGCTCCTGAAGATTGCGAGCGGGACATATTGGGACCCATCAAATGCAAGATTAAGATGAGGAATTATTGGAGTCTGAGATGGGCACCCTAAGCGTCAAACTGCGGTGATGTCAAGAGATTGACCCCCGCAATTGCAGCTCATTTTACGGCACACAAGTGCATAAGATAGGACACCATTCGTCAATCTTCAGACAGAATGACCCTCTTCCCCCTAAATCTTCAACTGATCCAACATGACCAACTTCTTCACTTTCACCTCCGCAACCCAAATCGGAGTTAGGAATTCCTCTTCGCCTTTTTGGATAGCAAACATGGCACGATGCGCACGACAGGGTGGCCCCACAAGGAAATAGGACATATGCAGATATAAAACAGATTCAAACACTATAGAATAGGCAACAGGTAGGGGAGCTGCACAAGGAAACACACATCTTTTTAGCAATATGTAGCAAAATGTAGCAAACACTTTTGGCTGGGAAAGAATCGTTACCAAGCAGAAAAGGGGGCCACCCGTGAGTGCATGAATCAAATGGAGCTCTCACAAAGCGCCGGGGTCTTCCAAGGCTTGGCAAGCTTCAAGAGCTTCTGTTGGCCTCGAAAGTAACTCGTGGCTGCTTCGTTGCGGATGGTCGTCACTCGTGGAGTAGCCACTCTCGAGTGGGTGTACGTTTTGGGACCCAGCAGGCTGAAGGTCCAGGCTGAAGTAACTGGGCTTTGTCTTTTAAACGAAGCACAAGAAGACCTTGGAGACACCCCTAGGCCCTAGTGACGGATTAGATTCTTTACCATGCGCGTTGGTACATCGTGGAACGTCCGCGTTCACCGTTCAAGTGTTTCTGAACGACTACTGAGGAACCATGAGGAACCTGAAAGGCTCAGGCCCCTGCGATGTGACCATTACAACTGCGCACTCTTGGCAGTTTTGTATCCTTTTGTATCAACCCGTGTGAGGCCAGCCGCATCTTGCTGGTCCTTGCTCACCATGCCCAGAAAGTCTCCATGACATCCATTTCTGCTCTTTCGGTGAGTGAATCTTTCGATGAAAAAGGCGAGACACCGACCACGATCCAAAACAGACACAAAAAAAGCGTCCAAAAGCGAATCCGATCACGTTCAAACCCTGAATCCGATCACGGCCATCCAAGAATCCGATCATGACGCGTCGATTGCGTTCGGAGATTTGCGCTCTCAAGACCTGGCGGAGAGGCTTCGGCCCCCGATGCCAGTCGAGTCCGAGCGATGCCCGACTCTGAATCCTTCGCTTCAAAGGTCTGATTGGTTGGAAACGCCATGGTCATCCACATATATAATCTATTATATAATCATACATAGTTAAAAGAAATACATAGAAATAATACGATGCTTCTTCTGCACTGATACGTTCATTCCCAACCTCTGCATGGCTTGCCGACAACTAAAGGTCGCTGACAAATGTGTAACAGGTGTAGGTCAATTTCAGCCGTAATTCTACAGGTGAATCCCACGAATACCCAGGGGGCTTGCCATGAATCAACTGTGCAGGGCATCAGGCATCATCTTCTGCATATAAAAGACGGGAGTACCTCACTTAGGGTTTCGGATGGGCAAACAAGTTGTATTTACAATCAATTCTTCTCAGCCCCCCCCGCCTCTTCAGTGGGTTTCCCCTCATGGATCTCCAAGGCAATTTTCCTCAATCCAAGTCGAGGTGACGCTCACCCAAAGTCTCCAAGACTTCAATTCTGTCACTCAAGAGCAGTCTATCGCATCTCTTCCACCCACGGTTCCGTGTGACGAAAGCAGGGGGATGGACCTCTCTTGCCTTGCGTATACAGTGTTCACAAGCAGCGAGGCCGTTGGAACCCTCTTCGGACCCTTTGGAACGGTCGCATTTTGGGATGACACGATGACAAGGATCATCCTCCATGTTGAAAAAAGCACCAGAAAAAACCACCAAAGATCATGGATTCATCTTCTGATCGAAAGCACAGAAAGCATGCACCATGTTCCAAATTGCCCAATCTCTTGAAGGTAAAAGGGTGGCACTCAGGGTTGCAATATTGGCCGAGGGGCTGGCCACCACGATTGGCGAAGGGCACCTGACATGTGATTCTCGGAAAACTCGAACCTGCCCAGCTTTTCGTTCAAAAGTGAACATGCTGGGAAGATATCTACCTGACATCCTGAAAACTCTCTGTGTGTGACAAGCCAGGACCTGAGGAGGTGTTCTTTGAAATCTTTCATGTCAGTAATCCTATAATTAGGAAAAATATGGAGAAGTTTATGCACAACCAAATGAATGTGATCGAACCCCAATCAAGGATGTACACACAATCTTCCGAAGTGCAGGAGGCTCAATCCGATTCACACAAGGGCCTGCAACAAAACACAAACCAGGAGTTTAAACAGCAGCGGCTATGAGATGCTATGAGCCCTCAGTGAGTTGATCAAAGGCACCCCCTGAGGCGGCCCGTCAAAACCTCCATTTACACATGTCGTCCTATGTCCTATGTGCTAACTGGTGGCCACCCTTGCGCAAGGCCAACTCGTCTGCCTCTTGCAAACGATCGATCCACGTGGTTCCATGGAAGGCGAAGGCTGGCGTGAGAACTCCACCGGCTCCGCCCGCCTTGGCCAATTTTAGGGCGGAAGCGCCGATCGGAGCTCATCTCTGAGTGGTACTATTTCAACGGAAAGAGCTGAAAGAGCTGAACTGTGGACTCCATGGAATCATCCCAGGGTCCAAGGTTGAAAGTTGAACTCAATCTTTGAGCAAGAGACCAACGGCAGAATGGACAAAAAACAAACAACACTAACAACACCAAACCGTTCTTTCATGTTTATGAACATACCATCACCAAAGAAGCTAGTAGTAACAAGTGCCACGCTAGTAGTAACAGGTGCCTTACTAGTAGTAACAAGAAGTTAGTAGTAACAAGTCACCAAACCTTGTTGCGACCGGATTTGGCCCACCCTTGATGGATCGAACATCGCCCGGAAGTGGAGCCTGGTGGATGGAGTTGGGTCAAGGAAGGAAGTGCAGGAACACAGAATAACGATGCTGTTCTATATGTCAGTTGATATATATATAATTACTATACATATACATATATATATATATATGTGTAAACATATCAGTTGATATCAGTGTTGACAATGTAGTGTTCAGTTGATATCAGTTCTGATGTTCTATAAAATATAAAACAAACCGTTTGCTGTCATTATACCAGTTGATATCAGTGTTCGATGATGTTATATAACACTTCTGAAGACATAGTTCAGGTATGGCAAATTTCCACCTCAATCATTCCAGAAGTTCTTGCCACCTCACGAACTTGTCTTGCCACCTCACGCACTGCAAGCCTCTCTTCACAATCTTTTTGGAGGTTGTTGGTCAAAACTTATATTATCCTTGGCAAACACAATCATATGTGTATGCTTGTGATTTGATGCTTGCCTTTCCACACATACGCCAAACTGGCTCTGACTCTGCAAGGTGCCCCATGTACATTGACGAATATGAACAGGACATGAGGGACATCCACCTCCCATGGTGTGTGGGCATGTGGGTGTGTGAACCTTCAAGAAGCGTTTGAACTTCCACAAAACTCATGGAACTTCACACAAGAATTTGCGTGAGTCATCTAGCTCTGTTGAGAGTTTCCCACATGTTTCCACATCCACTTCAGGTACCAAAATGTGAGCCCAAGTCTTCCGGCCTCTTCCGCCAAGACCAATGCCCCGCACACAGCGCACATGGCAGAGACTTCATAGGCACAGCCCGAGGTCCAGCGAGCATAGGCCCAATGACCTACCAGGGTCGGCCGAGGCGGACCGAACGCCACGAAGCATGGCACGCCACCAAGCATGGCAACGAGGACCTGAAGGTCTTTGTAACCTTCAACTGGAGTCTCTAGTCTAAGTGAGCTTTTACAGGCCTGTTGATGACCGAAAACCCTGGGTGATGACAATCCTGGGATCTAAGGGGACAGTCACTTTGAAGGTCGTGGCACATCTGGCACATGTTCAAGGTGTTTGGATGGGCCATGAGCTGTTTCTAGGTTCTTGACGGCTTCATTCCTTGTGCCGGCTTCGAAGCCAATTTCCGTGCCACTACTACCTGCCGGTTCAAAACGCGCTTGTACTTGGTTGCATAGCCCTGTTTTTATGGGCAACAAAAATTCACTGCCCTGGGCAGCTCTCTTGTTGCTTTCTTTTCAGAAGGTTCATGCACCCAACCCTAACCTTGCATTCACACAACTTGGAACCTTCTCGTCTATCATCCCTTTGCAGGACTCTAAGAAGCTTTGAATTGCCATGTACGTGTGTACTGTGAAAACAGCGATTTCTATCAATGAACAAATTCCTCCAAACTGTTTTTTGATGTGTTTTTAAACTCCAACCTGCAGCTCCGGTTGGTCGACCGCACCGCTCCACTCTCCCGCCCACTTGACTCCGCCTGACTCCGCCTGTGCCAGAGCAATGATCTCAGCACCGTAGAGCTTCCGGAGCTCCTTCGGCGGACCGAAGCCCGGCCAGGGCGCTTGGTCCCTTTCGCGCGCCTGCAGGAGGGCGTCGGCTGCCTGGAAGGACGAGTCGGGAAGAGGCGAAAGGAGAAAGGAAAAGCGTGACGCAAGGAGGTAGCAACTCTCAGCAAGGAAGGAAGTATAGGGGACGTAGCATATCTAAATTTGTAGGAAATTGATGGACATTGAGGTGGGGAATGGGTCCCAGGGCAATTGAGTGGCCATATCCTGGTCCGATTTCATCACTCAAAGGGGGAAAAATGCAAAGAAGTTTTGTGGGACAAGGAGGTGACAAGCTGAGAAATTCTTCGATTGAGAAGCTAGGGATTTCTCATCCCTTGAAGATCGAAAAGCTGGTGTTTCTAAGTGCTGAGTCTTCAGTCCTCAGACACAAACCATTGAGCTGAACTTTTGGTTACCCTATGGCTCCACCGATCTGGGTCCTGTGTGTCCAATTGGGTCGAACGGCGCATAGCAACATAGTCCCAAGAACCCGGTCGTCGTGCTACTTCGCCCAAAGCCATGGGGCGCCGCGACCCAACACATCGACCGAATCGACCCGTCACTGATCGACCGATCGCCAACCCACTGCCGGTGGTGGTTGACCTTTCTCTTCGCATGTCCCAAGGCCGAAGATGGACGAGAGAACCGCGGCGCGACCGATTCGCCAAACGGAATCGATTTGAAGCCTCCTTCTTGGGGGTGGAGAAGGATTGCAGCTGCTGCTCCGCCATCGCTCGCTGCAAGTGCCCCTCGCGGATCACCACCCGCAGCTCCTGGCCGTAGCGCAGATCGGCAGCAAAGAGCTCGGCGCTGCGGCGGAGAACTCGAGAGCCGGTCCTTGCAGGTGGCAGGTGAAAAGACACGGTCTGATTGCAGCTGTGTGGGAATGCCTGTTTCTGATTCTGATCGGTATAAAATGCTTAAACGTAATATTTACAAAGCAAAGCAATACGTAGTGAGATGTAACAATGTAGCGACGATGTTCAGGTGACATTTTGCCACCTTTTGTTGCCAATGCCGCCATCGAAGTCCGACAGTGAAACTCATTCGCATCTCATTCGCGACACTGCATATGATATGAGACCTCTTCGTCATGACAGAATTTCACTTTAATGGACATCCGCATTGACACAAACCTTGGTGTGTTTGGGCGGAGGATTCAGTCTTCAGGACCTTCCAGGGTACAATTGGCAGTTGCTGATTTGCGAAATCGCCCCACGTGTTTTCTCCGATTTCTCCATCGATATTGCATAACGTTTGCACATGGTGGTTGATCTATTTCCTTCTTACAAACACGCAATTCTTCGCGAACTCCATGTTTAACTTTCACAGGCGGTATATCCTAGAAGTCTTCTGTTTCCACATATCTATCTTTCGCAAATCCATTGCAACACATCTTTACTTTCACACTTTCGCGGACAACATAAAAGGCTTTCAATGAACCTAGGCCGTTTGTCGACCTTTTGATCAACTACCACATAAATGTTCCACCTTCTTGACCAACTGCATATAGACAAAAAACTGACGGGATAACATTCCCAAAAAACTAGACTCAGGGTTCAGTCAACAACATTCAACACCAGTCACTTCTGCAGCGCTATGGATTCCACCCGGAACAACCTCTGTTGCCAATGATACTCTTGACATCTCAGCTGGGCGAACTAAAACTGGTCACACAACATCACACAATACTATATAAATAGTAAGCATTCCCACACATCAGGGGTTCGATCTTTCAATCTGTTCCAGCTTCTATTTGTTCAAATGTCCCTTTGAGACTTTCCTTCTCTCCCAAGACGCCCACTTCAGCAGGTCACTTTTCGCGGCTGATCGGATGCATCGGTTGCAAGTTGCAACCCCGAAATGTTCCAGTTGGGGTTCTGCTTCGAAAATCACCTGCAGTTCATTCCAAGCGTCGAGCTGTTGTACGCAGGAGCCAAATACACGGATGGATACAGCGAGTCAGCCTGGGGATGGGTTGCCATCGCATACACTGAAGCAACACACCGACCTAGACAAGACCTTCTGAAGGGTCCAGGGTCCCTATCACCATGGTTTTTGCATTAAGTATCATGTCACTGCAGGGATCTTGCACCCAAAACACCATTGCAAATCTATCGGCACGTCTGTACCCCAAGGATCTGGCGGCACCCCAAAGACCCGGGTCGTATAAGAATGGTCAAGGATGCGTTAGATGCGACACTTCCCGGGACGTAATTTCCCTTTGTATGTTTCTATTTGTTGGAATTTGCCGGGCCGAGCACACTCTTGGGTGCCCCCAAAGAGCGCCAAACTGACAACCGGTGGTCGACGGTCGCCCACCTCCACCTGGTCGCAGTCCAAATCCTCGGGCCTCGGAGAAAACAACGGCAGAGTGACATGGAAGACTCGAAGATCCAAGTTCCACAAAGTCTGAGAAGATGGGAAATTGGAAATTCCACATCTCTCACACCATCCAGGCAATAGTTGCCTACAGGATCATAAATGTGGTAAGTATCATTTATTCCAAGCATGGATGGCCTGGGTCTGGAAGATATTTTGGAAGAGATTGGAAGAACAATTGCTAGGAACATGGAGCGGTGGGTGAGCTTAACGTCGATGGCGCTTTGCCAGGATGTGTACATGGAGAAACTCCCGCTGTAACATCGAGGCGCACAAAACCGACCCAAGCTTCAGAAACGGTGAAGTTCTTTTTGTTGGATATTTTCCGGCCATTTGTGAATCATTTTCCGGGCGGCCTTCTTCCAAGCGCAGAAGGAGCAGCAGAAAAATGAGGGAGGGAGGGAGGGACAGGGAGAGGACGAGAGTGCAAAGGAGAAGGAGCAAAGAGGAGGAGGGGAGAGGGAGTGGGAGAGAGGAGAGAGGGAGAGAGGACGAGAAGGCAAAGGAGAATGAACAGAGGAAAGAGGAATTACTGTAAGGTTTTTTTGGGGTTTGGCTCAAGGATGTTCTTTGGGTTTGGTATGCGTTGGAACAGCTCCTGCCTCCTCTTAAAATTGACACTCGGCCCGCCTCGTGGCTCACAGTAGGGTATGCTATGTTGGAACGGCCAGCAAAATTTACCCTCCAGTGCACACTAGGTGTCCGGCATCATGCTCCTTCCTCCTCTAAGCCCTCGGGTGGCTCTCAAAAGGCATGCTACGATATGCTACGTTGGAATGGCTGGCCCCTTCCTCCACGATCTTTTCCCACCCACACTCAATCACGATAAGAGGATAAGAGTCAAAGGGTGCGTGACAAGTGACAAGGTAGCTCGAGGCACAGAAGCTAAAGCCAAAGCAGAAGCAGAAACAAAAGCAACAGCAGAAGCCACAGTAGAAGCAAAACCCGAAGCAAAGCACCAGTGGAATAAGCTGTCCCACAAGTGGGTGGAAAAACATCCACAAAATTTCCCTACTTTGAGTGATCCCCGCCCTGAAAGGCGATTTGGAATAAGGCAAGGCGCATGTCGCATTGACAGACTGGCCCGACAAAGGCGGACATGCGGATTGACACAATGTTCTGCACGCTTGTTCTGGCATCAACTCTGCTTTGTTCCTTGACACATCATCTATCATAGAGGCTGGGAAATCCACTGCGATCGAGCCCTGCGGGTTGAGGTCCGGGAGTGCCCACTGGGCTCTGACGCTTGCTGTTGAGGTCCAGGAGTGCCCACTGGGATCTGGACCTGGAAGTTGAGGCGAAGAGACAGAGGAGGAGGAGAAGGACGAGGAGGAGAAGGAGAAGGAGAAGATGGCGGGACCCTCTTCCAAAATCTAACGACCCTCACCTGACAGGTGGGGCCAAAAACGGTTCCTTCAAAATGTAGGCCCTCTAGGTTTGCTAAGTGAGCATTGCTTCAGATGTCAACGTATCCCAAGTGCCCAGCCTGTCTTTGCTTCCTCTGCCGCCAAGGCAAAAAGGATCTTTGGCAATGATCTGGCCATCTTCGTCGCTGCACAAGGAAGTGATCTTAGATCCACGAGGACATGGCAAAGATGCAGGGAACTGGGTAGTTTTCGATATTCCATCATCCGTCAAAGAACATGACGCAATCCTCTCACCAATAGCCTAGACCCAATCAAAATGGACAAACACCACCGGGCCCATCGGTGCGATTGTCACGGGTCTAGGTGCGTCCGAAAGTGCTGGTGCAGCAGTGCATCCGAGTCCACTGCCATTTTCACCCAACTGGTGCTGTTTTCTACACATCTCTCGAGCAAGTGATTGGTTCTGGGAATCTTTGTTGGTCTTGTCACTCGTTTTTATACAAGTTGGAGTTGATGAAGAAAATCGAACTCGCTGAGTAAGGGAACATGTAGTATTTTACCATATTGTAGTTGTAGTATAGCTGGCCATCTCGGTCTGAACCATTCTGAACCCCTTAGAGATAGACTTTGGAGACTTGAAGTCAAAGAAACCTGAAATAGGAACAAGGTTCGCTACGAACGGGGCTCCTGGCATCGCTACGAACGGAGCGATCGGACGCTACGAACGGGGCTCCTGGAAGTGTACTTTTTCACCGGTGCCGGACACGGCTCACGGAACCAAACAGTTTGGCACCAGTACAGTGTCTATGTCAGAGCCATATGTACGCGTGCCCTCTCTAAACTTTCCCTTTTTGCCCCCGAAACACACCCACAAACTTGGTGTCAGTTATTTGAGTGGAACCAGTGAAATATCCAGTGACACCTTTGCTTCTCATTGGCATCCCTATAAAACACACTCTCGAAGGCTCGCAAACCAACAATGCCTCCGACAGGCTCCGACGATAAGGCTCCGACGTTCGTCTGCAGCGTTCCTCCGCTGATCCCTCCGAACTGGCTGAAATATTCACCTGCAAACGGCAAACCGGTGGAGTCTCGGTGTTGAAGGAAGGCACTTCACTCGAACACAAAAGACAGGTCTCTTGACAGGTGTCATATCCTTTTTTTTCAGACAGGCCAAGGACACTAAAGCGCACGAAAGCAAACCTAGAAACATGCCAAGTATTTAGTTCTCTCTCTCCCACTCACTGACATGGACGAGGAACCCCCCTGGTTCGTAGAGCAAAATCAACACGGTCTCTTCGGGGTCGCCATCTCTTCACCGTTAACGCCACTTAGGTACTGTGGATCAGACTGGACGGCTTGCACAGGCGGGACTGGGCCCCAAAAGGAGCTTTGCGGGGCTTGGCCGGAAAGGCTGTTTAACCAAGGACACCCATGAACAGTCATCCGAACTCCCAAAAGCCGCAAAAGAACTCACAGAATTTGGGTCCTCTTCAGTCCCCACCGGTCAATCTCTGCCCAGGTCCCGGCAAAGTCCAACATCCGCGTAACACACGTCATGCGTCCCAGAGTCGATGAGTATCCTTACATTTAGAGAATTGGTCGGGAGGTGGGTCTATGGCCGGGTTTTAGCGGGATGAGTTCCGACACAGACACACACACACACATGTCCCCGTTTCTGGGTTGTGGAGTCCAGTCCTGCCTTGACGACTGAGCATTAACCGATGGCCTCCAACCTATAGAGAACTGTGTATAACGTGTTGAGATCGCATCATATAGAGTAGTGTGACGGGGTTGGATCTGATGCTGGTCCATGGATATCTACTTCATATCCCTGTTAGAGTTTCAAGGTGAACCTGGATTAACCCTTCTCTAACTGGAAAAACGGGCATGCACTTTTGCCTAGTAAATGGTTCAATATATGTTGTGACTATTTTTTCTAATCAAATTATGTTCATCTTTTTTCGGTCACCAACATGGCTGACGCAACGGGAGCAGCGGTCCATGCCTTCTTCGCCGAGAGGCGATAGTCTTTCAAAGGTCCTAGCGTCCGAACCAGGCTGTAGCACAAGATCTCATCCGGAGCACCTCAGTGGCGTAGCGTTTTTGACACGACAATTTTCGGAGAAGGACCTCTTGAACTGAACATGGATTTTCGGAACTGTTTTGATGGGATTCTCTTTGGAAGATGGACAATTCTGGGAACCCTCGGAATTGAGAACGCAGTTGAAACTCATGAGTACGAAACATGGAGGTTGTACTTGGACTGGGATGGGGCTATGAAAGGTTGCAGTGTATATTGATACTATTACTACTCAGTGTACAGGATTCTAGATTTAAGACTTGAAAGGAAAAATCTTGAACCATGGGGAATCCAGCTGGTCATGTCCTCCTTTACACAACCACCTGGCATCCTCGAACAGGAGTTGAAACCTGGGTCACTTGAAGCGGATGAGGGAATGCAGTGCTTTCACATGATGTGATCATGTGTCTTTCTGACACTCATCTTCAGCCAGCAGTCATGTAAGTGGATAGCACGGCCCCTTTGTTCCACAATTTGTTGGAGGGCTTTTTGAGGTGAGCTCTTCACTGGGCGACCACAAATTGTTCCTACATGTTGATGGGACATTCCCTATTCTCCCTCTTGCTTTGGATCGAGCTGCCGAGTTTGCCTATGCACAACATTGCACAACCAAAACAAGAGTGCGAGTTCAAACTCCCTAGCCTTCGTAGTACCACTGAGAAAGCGGACGTAAATAGAGTTGACACGGTCTTTTGCACCGGCTCTATCATGTCTGTCCACCGCCTCTTCGGGCTAGAGCCGCCTAGCCACACACATTCCCTGCAGAGAGAACGATCTTTGTCTTGAGCTCTTCTGCTCGAGCGTGATACTTCTGGACCATCTGATACCTGGAGAAGTACAGAGATCAACGGAATCAACACCAACCATCTGGCACCGGAGTGAGCACTCAACAAAACTGACACCTATATATAAATGATGTGCTGGGTGCAAATGAGGTCATGAGTCATGACACTACTATTTTTTAGTTCTATTTTATCAGGCCATGACTCGAACAGTTCATATAAAATACATCACCACTGGTCCATACTCCGATCCAACACCCGCCAAGTGACGCTTCGACGAACGAACACCAAGGGCATGTCAATCGTGCGACCAAGGTGCATCCAGGGAACTTCGCCCGTGATGTCGACGTAATGCGTGGAGTTCTTCACGCAAGCTTCCACCACAGCCTCGTAAGTGGGGCTGAAGTATGGAGGACCGGAACCCGCGTTTCTTAGCTTGTGAATATGGTCCATAATTCACCAAGTGAATAGGTTCGCTCCAAAAGATCCTCAAAGACTTGGATGGGGAACCAACGTTTCCACTGTCCTCTCAGCATAGACGCTCTGATACGCTATGACTTGTTCAGTCTGTTGTGATCGGAAACCATCAAACACCCGCAAACTGGATATGGAGAATACAAGAATGATCTCTGAGTTGGCCTGCAGCTCAATGACACCCGCATGGAAAGGGCAAACACAAAGGATACACGAAGGTTATTATATATAATTTGCATATGTGTTCTAAATATCTTCGGCAAGGAGGCATCAAGCAGAACTGCTGGCCAGCTTCGTACCCTTTCACCCATATCCAGATTGTATCGGAAGGGTGGTTCACCAATTTTTTCAAATCACCTAATTACTGATGTCCCACACCCTTCCACCCTTCCTCGATCACGGATTCACGACTGCATACCTCTGCAGTCACGCCTCCCCACAAAGAGCATAAGGTCCAATCGCCGAGATCACCACCTTTCGTCGCTCCGTTCGAAAGACGACAAGATCGGGTGGGATGGGACGGGGTCAAGCGGGGATGTGAACAAACATCTAGCGGATTCTAGCGGCGTTGGGCATAAAGATGCGCATTCTTTGCATGACCACGATGCCAAACGTGTGAAAAAGGCCTACAAAATCCATCACACGGCGGCAGTTCTTTGGCCACGCTGACTTAGTCAGACTCAAAAATTTGGACCCCCAGGAATTCCCTTGGCTCTGAAGATCACTAGGAAAGTACAGAAGTGCAGAAAGTCTCAAGACGTCTGCGCTGGAGAACCTTCGTCTCGATCGTTGAGATTTTGCTTCCAGTGCTGAACCATTGAGATTTTTCCTCCCTAAAACTCACATGAATTCTGAATCCTGCCATTGAAACAAGTGCATCGCTACTAGTAACAAATGCCTTACTAGGATATTGAGCGTCTCATTCATCTGAAACTTCTCTCCAAACCCCGGATCTTCCTGCATCCTCTCATCCTCCACACCCCTCAGCAAAAAAAACATATAATATATATATATATATATACTCCTTGAGTCAGAATCATTCCAGTGGAAAACCACCTGTTTGGTATTCGGAGCATGGTCATCCACAGGGCCCTTTTGCTACTCTCATCAACAGTGACGACCGGTTCGCGGCTCGCCATGCAATTGGACCTCGCCACTCGGCCCTTGGAGACCATGTGATCCAACTGCGCGTCATCGGAGACGTGAAAAATTTGTGGGCAGCTCCGGCAGTGGCTCGCCACGTTCCTTGAAACAGCGACAGGCGGGCTGCGCGGGCTGCGCGACGCATGTGTGGAATATGGTGTGGACGAAAAATGGTGGCAGGAACTGAACAGCGACAAATGTCCACATGCCCTGCCAGTTGCTTGACCGGTTGACCCCGGGACTGTTGTTCATGACGGGCCAAGGATGGGATTTTTGGTAGATTCACAGTTGGGCTGTGAGGCTCGCGAGGCCGGTGCATACTGGGGCCTCATGGTGCCGCTATTTTTCGATTTTTGTGGAACCTTCCCTCTGGAGGCCTTCGTACCAATCCCAATCCAGCCCCAAGAGGACTCACTTTAGTTCCAGGGTTTATCAGTTCCAATCCTTCAATGTCTGTTCTAAGCAACATCCAGCAGTGATGGATGATGCTTGTGATGCAAAAGCTGCGACCTCTGAGTCAAGCATCTTCAGCTTTGCCAGGTTTCGACCAGCTACACCCCATTTGAGTTGTTCGGCTTTGGGTTGTAGGTCGACCAGGGCATCCAAGTGCTCAACCATCAAGCTACCAGTGTAACCTCAGCTGAGAGGAGCTTGAGTGCATCTCCTGGAAGATAGTACCTCAACCCAGGTCTATGTTTGCCTGGCAAACTGAATTCGTCAACCAGCTGATTCAGTAAAGGTATATGATGGTGCACCTGAAAGCTAAACATGACCCCTGTTCAGTTCTGATAAGAACTTGTTATATTTCAGGCAGTTGGTGATCCAAACACAATTGGGGAATGGACATGTGTGCGGCGAGCATGTGTTTTGCAGCCAACATTGATGGGCAAACTTAGGTAAACAAACAATTATATATATATATATATAGTTGGCAGAAGCATCCGCGTTTGCGTTTGTATATCCTGAAAGCCCTAGGCAAAAAGTGGGTTTGGGATATGCGAACATATATGTGAACACCCTGCCATACCTTGGTAGCTGCTGGAACACTCACACTGTGGTTAGCAACCCATTTCACCATGCCAAGTATTGTTGGAGACCTCATTTGCCCAGCTGCTCCAAGAACAAGAAACACGTGGCCAAGTTACTTAGCCCTTGACCGAAAGTAGATTGTCGACAGCAGTGCAGTATCTTTTTAAAAGGAATATATAGTCAGAACGTAGTGCAAAACTTCGGCAGCCGTGTGCGAGGACAGAAAGACTCCGTCGAACCTTTCGACAGCTGGATTGATCGCCGCCACATTCACTTTGTAAAAACCTGAACGCCTATGATGCGAATCATGCTGAAACAACAAGCGTGGCATCTTCAACATCCCATCTAGACGTTGAACTCTTGTCTTCAGTGGCTAGCTCCTTTTTAGGTGTTTCTCGGACTCCTGTTCTTCCAAGATTAAAGTTGGCCTCCATAGATGACTCAAAGTCTCTCATCAATTCCTCCATTTCGCCCTGGAGGCACGCTTTTTAACTCTGATCCAAGGCGCCGGTGGCGCCCAGGATGATCACGGCGAGGTCCCGACCCAGGTCAGGAACTTCCACAGGATCCAACTCATCCAACTCGTCAAAATCCATGGGAGCTCGCCCCGTTCCCACGCGTTGGAGAAAGTTTGTGCGGTCAGTCGGACTGTGGGCGGGGAGGAGGTTTGGGGAAAAATCCTGAAAGATCCATACTGAGGGTACCTCGGAGTTTCTGGATTTCTTTTGATCCTCTCGCCGACGTCACATCTGGGTCACATTCTTCTGCGCATAGCTGATGCGGCTTGGGAACTTGGGCTTCGATGAAGGTGGCACCAGGTAGGACATGTCAGAAGCTGATAATCCAGTTGCCGTTGGACCGAGTGCCAAAGGTACATGTTCCATCAAAGTTCTCTTTGTAGCATCTAAAAAACCAAACATAAGTTTGTCTGCCTGTCCTTGAACCTTGACCGAGGTGGTATGTCTTCTCTACATGTCCGTGGACATCTCATTGAAGGTGGTATGTTGCATGAGTGCTTCGTATACCTGAAATTCCATCAGCCCATCAGGGGCTTTGGAGCCTAAAGGCGAGCTACAGAGTTGCTCCTGGACAGATGGGGCGAGGCCACAAGGCCCTCGGCCACTGGTCCATGGCTTCCATCCACCTCAACCCAACACGTTGTTTGATCCTTTCGGGCCTTTTTTGATCCAATCACTTTCAGACCTCCCGTGACCGCAGACCGACGGAATGCCCATCCCGACGCCCGAACCGCGACCGCGCCCGGTCCGTGGACGGCGGATTGGGCCGCCCCACACCGCTGCGGCCGACCGTCCATCGACCTCCCGGCGTTGGAGTGGCAACCTCCCACGGCGAGGTGGCGAACCGCCACCCGGTGGCGAACCGCGAGACTGACGGGGCGGGGGCGGGTGATGAAACGCATGGCGACGCACGGCCAGACCTGAAGAAAAACCATGAATGGATGTGAATGGCTGTATCTCCTACATACCATGAACATCACGAAATTGATTTCATAATCAGGATGAAAAAAGGACACAAAGGTTACTTCAGCTTGGTTTTAGCTCACTGAGGACGTACTGTTGATTAGTAGAATCCTGTACATACTCCTTGCTATGGGGCCGAGGTATTAAAAAACATTTTTAGAAACAATGTGTTCATAAACTGGGTTGCAAAGCAACTCTCTCAATGTGAAATTAACCCTTTATATGAAATGGACAGTTCAAGACATTTCACCTGTGGATGCTTCTTGGTCACTTGTGTTGCTATTTTGCAGAAGGCCTGCTCTTTTGTAGGCACACATTTTTTCCAGCTGCCTCGCATGTGCACAAAATGGCGCACAGGCAGAAACCAAATATATAAAACAAAAAAATCAAAACATATGATATATTGTTTCTAAGAGAATGGCCACCACTGGCCACCACCCTAGTAGCGATGGCCTCCAACAAAAACCATAGTCTTTGAGAACACCAGAGTTTTACAAACTGAAGCAAAACTCTTGCAAACTTTGTAGCCATTCCGAGCTTTCCATAGCTTTCCCGTGCATCCATGCTCTCCTGTGGCATGGCTATCTCCAATCCCCTTCATCAGCCCCTGTCTTTTTGGGCATCTTTCTCAAGAAAATTACATAACTTGTTCAAGCCAACCAGCCCTTAAACCTCCAGAACCTACAGTCGCCCAGCAACCCTTCCAGGTCCTGCACAGCCCTTGATTACGAGTCATGCGCCAAAACCCAAAGAGAAGTTTTAGTTATACATATATACAACAAGGACTGGCCACGGGCCCTGGGGGTGTTCCCAGCTCAGTCCGCGCTGGAACATTGAAATTATGTTGCTCTCCCTTTTAAGAACAGAAAAGAAGCATCTCCTCTATCTGTCAAGAGTGTGGTTTCCTGAAACGACCCTTGGGAATTGATATTGGGCAACCTGTTTTTTCACCCTTGAACCCTGTTTTTTTCACCCCGCCCTTTTTTTTCCACCCTCCACCTTTCTTTTTCACCCTCTGAACATGTGTTTTTCACCCTCGAACCTTCTTGTTTCACCCTCTACCCTTTCTTTTTTGACCCTCGACCCATTCTTTTTCACCCTCCTTCCTTTGCTTGGTGTGTTGGTTGGTTGGCTAGCTTGTTGTAATGCAAACCAAATATCGACAGCCTTTGGGGAAAACACAGGGTTGTGTGGTTTTGGTTGATTGGTTTGTTGGTTGCTCGGTGGGCTACCAATGCAAAGCAAGTATCGACAGCATTTGCGGAAAACACAGTTTGGTTGCTACCCTTTCTTTTTTATCCCACTTCCTTTGGTTGGTGTGTTGGTTGGTTCGGCCTGCTTGGCTTGTTGGTTGCTTGGATTTGGGTAAAGCACATACAGTGATGAACGGATCATGTACAGGGAGAAAAATAGAACTTTTTGGTGGGTTGGTTGCTTGGTTTGCTTGCTGTTGATTGCTTGCGTGATACAGCGGATGGATGGATGGATGGATGGATGGATGGATGGATGCTGTGTAGATAAAGACGGGACGGGGTGCGGGGGAGGGCGCAGCGCCTTCCCCGCAATGCAAACCAAGTACCGACAGCATTTGGGGAAAAACAGGGTTGCGTGGTTTGTTGGTTGCTTGCTTGTTTGATGGGTGGATGGATGGATGGTCTGTAGATAATGGCGGGCGGGGATGGATGCATAAATGGATGGAGTGTAAATAAAAGCGGGAGGGCATGTGGGATCACACAGGGTTGTGTCGTTTTGGTTACTTGGTTTGTTGGTTGCTTGGTGGGCTACCAATGCAAAGCAAGGATCGACAGCACTTGGGGGAAACGTTTGGTTGCTTGGTTTGTTTGCTGCTGGTGGGCTACCCACCCTTTCTTTTTAACTCTCCTTCCTTTGGTTGTTGTGTTGGTTGGTTCAGCCTGCTTGACTTGTCGGTTGCTTGGGTTTGGAGAAGACACATACAGTGATGGATGGATCATGGACAGGGGGAAGAATGTTACTTTTTGGTGTGTTGGTTTGCTTGCCGTGATTGCTTGCGTGATGCAGTGCTTGATGAATATGCAATTTTTCTGTTTGTGTGCTTGGTTGATGGATGGATGGATGGACGGACGGACGGATGGATGCTGTGTAAGTCAAGGCGGAAGCGGGTGCGGGGGAGGGCGCAGCGCTACGGGATGGGTGGTTTTGGTTGCTTGGTTTGTTGGTTGCTTGGTGGGTTTGTTGGCTTGGCCGCGTTGTTGCTTGGTTGGTTGGCACTCCGTTGATGGATGCATGGATGGACGGATGGATGGATCCTGTGCTGCCTCACGTTCCGGAGGCGTCCGGGTCAGTTTCCGGCGGTTCCCGTCGTTCCGGACAGTCTCTACGCAGTTTCCGGAGGGTTCCGAAGGGCTAGTAACAAGAAGCTATTGGGGTGAAAACAAAGGGTTTGGCAGGTGCAGGGACAAGCGGTGTGAAACAAACCGGAGGTGACATCGTTCTCTGTGCAGGTTCCATGGGATACCTGCTTCACCGGCGGAGGGTTGAAAAGAAAGGGTCGATGGTGAAAAAGAAAGGGTGAAGGGTGAAACAAACAAGGTGAAGGGTGAAAGAAACACGCTACAGGGTGAAAATGACAGGGTGCAGGGTGAAAATAAAAGGTTTTGGGAGGGTGGAAAAAAAAGGTTCCAAAGGGTGGGAAAAAAAGGAATCTTGAGGGTGAAAAAAAAGGTTTCGAGGGTGGGAAAAAAAAGGGAGCCCATTGATATTTATGGATTGCATGGACATCTTTCACAGTTGGAGTATGTTTTCATATCTATGACATTGGTACCACTCCTACCCTTGACGAAAGAGCATCACCCACAATCTCACATCCTTGCTCGAAGATGTGCCCAACCTGTGGTCTCTACCACACCAGCTGCCAAGCTTTACCTTTAAAAGACTTTTCCACCAACCAGGCACCCTTGCGTCTATGAAATGGGTGCTGGTTTTGATGATGTTCGACCTGTAAAAGGTGCCGATTTCGGGGCCACAAAAGGGCAACTGAGGCATCACCATGTTTGACCCATCGCCATATATGGCCCCGTTCAGCAGATGTCCTCCACACCTCAACGCTCCAGAAGACACTGGTCCTGCCGGTACTGTGGTGGGACAAACGCCGTGTTCGCTGAAGAGAAGCGACTGGGCGTCCACATCAGAACTGAACATCCCGGAGAGATCACACCCTGGTCATGAGCTGGGAAAGGGAGAGATTGTGCAAATGAGTTGCACACCCAAAAAGGCTTGGAATTGGGCCTTGTCCACCTGTCTATCAAATCAATTTGGTGTGGGTTCCAAACCCGGAGCCCTAACCTGCAAAAAGTTCACGGTCTTCTCCAGAGGTCTCAATGAGCCAATGCCCTGTAACCCATGCCACTTTATGTAACTTATGAGGAGGACCCCAAACGTCAACAACTCCCGCACTGGTTTATTGAGGAGCGCCGTTGTAGGGCAAATCTCCTTAACTTCCACTTGGGTCCCGGTTCTTGAATTCCGAAATAAAGGTCACTTTTGTTCAGAACCAGTCGCCGAATGGTCAGACCACCTAAGTCTCCGCCGAAGAGAATATCAGAGTGTATCCAAAGCTCCCATTCAAAACATGTCATTCTGCTCGGCTGGCGCAGCTTCCCAGCCTGGCTGGCCTCCTCCGCTGCGCTTTGGGCTCACACCGGCCACCTGAGGAAAAACAACGACCCGCGCGGAACGGAACGGCACCAAGTCCCACGAAAACGCCGGACATCCGAGAAAAACCTGAAGTGCCCTCCTAAGGCAAGAAACACTGAAAGTGCGTTTTTGTTTTTTAATTTCTGAAGGAGCAACTTCTATCAATCTTGGAGGCTGCCCAAGTATGGACAAGCTGTGAACCGCCTTTTTGGATCTCAAAGGACTCAAACCTTCGAGGCCAATCCTCTAGCAAGGCTTCAAGAAGGCTCTTTTGCTACAAGGATCTGAATCATCACTTCATGTGTCACGAAGCTTCTATGGAGTCAGTGCCTGAGAACCTTAACTCTGCGAGTTGCCGCGCCCTCAGAACTCTTGAGTCAATTTCCAGAGAAAGCCTTGTTGGGATATTTTTGGCAAAGCCCCGTTTAGAACATCAATCGCAGGCAAATGATGCCCCCAAACAGCTGAAGTTTGCAAATATCTGACTAGTCTGATAGCCCGGTCGCTGCTTTAGTTGAGTCTTGATCATTACTCAATCTCTGGAGATATGTCATGATATGTCCAAGGTGAGTGTTCCCAAATCACCATAGCACGGCAAGTCACTGACACATCCATTGACCGAGGCTCCTTCTCCGGCCTTCACGCTGCCGCGACACCAAACGGACCCTGCCTCTGGCCGGCGGGAGCGGCTTGACAAAGGGGCCGCCTGCGCCAGGCGGCTCGATGGGCTGGGCCCAGTGGTCTGATACACGCCCAGTGCTTGGTAGGTTAGCTCATGGAGATTCGTTGCTGTTATTTGTGTCAAGCCATGAACGGGCGTGTATCAATTGCTGGGGACACCTCGATCCCTCGATCCCCTGTGGAGGGAACTACCCATCACTGGTCTACCCATTGGGCCAGAGGGGTCGTCCAGATCTACCCATTTTCTTCGAAAAAAAGGAAGACTTGTCCAGGAGTCACAAAGGGGTGCCTATTGAAGGATAGGGGTCCCCCATTATCCGCTCACTTCGAGACAAAAAACACCCCTGTGTGACTCCTGGGTGTGATCTCTTCTTGGTCTCTGCATCTTCCTACCTCAAAGCCTCAAAGAGGACGCCTTTGTGTTTTTCCATGTTTTTCCACACACGCGAATGATATGTTGACCACTCCATGCACGAAACAGAACCACCAACCGGGGTGGAAAGGGTAGATTGGTCCATGCTTTGTCTGTCGCTTTCGAACACTAGAACTATCCACACCTCAACCTTGGCCACTTCGGGATGGTCTTTCGAGAAATCATCTAATATATTGGCCTGTGGCCTGTGATCGCAAACAATCATTGACCGGTTTGAAGATTGGACTCAGGGCACCCTAGTCGCATCATCTCAACCACCACGGTACGGTTTCTGGTGGATAACACCTTCTCAGATAGACAGAGAAAATCCTTTTCACAAGGTGGTTGAGACTTGCTGTCGAGTCGAGACCCGATGTGGGCCATGTTTCTTCTCTCTTTTTGCTCGACGCACTCACCGGGCCGGGCTCAACGCACTCACCGGAACGCACTCACCGGGCTCGGGCGATGAACTGAAACACCATCGTCTTCAACCGCCCATACAAGTAAGGGTGGAAGAGTGATGTAACACGTGGATTCAGCTCATAGTACCCTTGAGCCTCTGACGAACACATCACACGGAAAGTGGATGATATGGCCCCATGGAAGAGTACTTCCTCTAGAAACACAGTTTTCATGGGTTTTCCACTTCCATGTGATGTGTTCGTCAGTCCAAGTCGTAGTACGCAACTCAATTCTTTCCTGATCGGAATCCGGAGTTCTGGTTACTCACCCTGCACTGCACTGATTTCTCAGGGCCAGATCTGTTGATGAGACACATCAAAATAACTTGTCTTGCAATGACGGAGATGAATGCAACGCTTTAGTCTTTTGTGTTTAATCTATAGTTTCCTTTTGTCAGATAATTTTGACAGGTTAAGGCTAAGATAGGCTAAGGCACAAGCATATCTTATGGTCAGGCTTTTCTCCATCAAGGTGGCTGCTTTCGGGGCCTCTTCCTTCAACGGGGTGGGCTCTTCAAGATGCACGAATCACTTGGGTTCGTGGATTTTGGTGGACGCATCGGTACATGGATGGCCAGCTCCCTATTTGCTGTTGATGTCCCCCCCAAAACACGCCCAGTTGGAATGGAAAGTGCAAACCATGCGCGGCTTGTGGGATGCCCCAGAAATACGAATCCAGTGTCACATGGGTTCCAAGATGTTCCAAGTGCAGCCAGTGTCCTCAGTGTCCCTTTTCACCCTCCAACAGCAGCAGGATAAAACAATGGGATTGTTGGTTCACTTAAACATGAAAGGAAGTGGGGGCCTGTCAAAAGGGCTATCTTCAACATCTTCAACATCAGAAGTTCCAAACATGTTCAAAAAACGAACACCCTTCTAACACCACCGGGGCCGTTCTTCCACAACACCTTTTCCGGTGCCCGTGCTTTCCAGCGGTGGCATCTTCATCACTTGGTGGCGACCACCCGCGCCGGACCCGACGGCTTCACACCGGGGCGAGGCCGTTGGTAAGCGATGATCTGCAGGACCTAAACAGGACTCCCCAACTGGGTGTAGGATCACGAAAAAACGATCCCAGAAGCGGTTTGATGGGACAATTTCATATACACGAAATCCATTGTTTTGGAGGTGAGAACTATGGTCTCCTGTGGAGGAAATCTCTTAAACAAATTCTGGGATAGGACGATCTGCGAAGCTTGGACCACACATTCTTATGGAGAAATCTTAGAGTTCAACATCAAGACCTGCACTTGTTCTTGTGTTCCGAAAACGAAGTGGCAATTCCAACCCTTTGGTCTTGTTCGCTCGTCGGCCCGAACTTCACGACATCCCATCACGGTCCGCCAAGAAGCGACCACCAAGTTGAGCACCGCACCCACAGAATGAGAGAGCAATGAGAGCATGTCCTTGCCCAAGAGTTGCAAGGTGGTTAAGAACCGTGCCACGCTGCCGAGGAACTGCAGGAAGAAGGTGATGAGGGACAGCTGTCCAGTCCTCGGCCACACCGCGCACTGAGTGGAGGCTTTGTAAGTTCTTTTCCAGGATTTCCAGGGTGATTTACTGTATCTGTTCCTTGGTTGAATTCGCCTTCTAGTCTTAGACTTTGGCATCGTGAGCCCCATGCTTTCGGCGGTGTCCGCACCGCGCCAGATTGGTCTGCCCCTACCACCGCAGACGCAAACGACGCTCGGTCACCTGCTTGGGCACCTGTCGGTCACCTGCTTGGGCACCGGTGTGATCCGATTTGGTCGGTGAAAAGAGGAAGGTCGGCTGATGTAAAAGTCGGCGAACAATTTGTGAAAAGAGGACGGTTGGCTTACAAAACAAGATACAACACAAGTCCGGTGGATACAAAGCAAAATCGTCGCTTTTGGATACAAAACACGATTCGCAGGGCGGCTCCCACAGCCCCCGCAGCCAAAAGTAAAAGCTGGCTCCTAATTTTGTCCCCGGCCGACTCAGCTGGTAATTTTGTCTCGTGAACCAGTGGAAAAACTTTTTGAACTGTGTACCCCGCTCACCAAAACCTTCTGACGAACCAGGGTTTGCCTAAAGCAAAGAATTGGTGGATGGTTGCGTTTTCAATGGGTTCCATAAACGAGCCTCTTCGGGATTGTTCACGCACAATCGTGAATCAAAACATGTCGCAGATTGTCCAAGCATCTGACGTGTCCGCCAATTCATGGATATCTGTGGGATCCGGCTGATGGTGGTCATCGCTGTGGGCGAGGAGCCTAAAATCCCGACCAGGATTTGATACTCGTGGCCTTCCACGAGGATCGCTACACCTTGGATGATTGGAGGATTGGCAGCATGAGTTGAAGAAACATGTTGCGGGTCCCTCCAACAAGTTGCGGTTGTGTAGAAACCGTGATGGTTGGGCCCTTTTGAATAGCTTCAACAAACTACGTGAAGGGACTCTCACTCTCCTGCGAGTGGGGTGTGGTCATGTCTGGTCTACTTTTTTGTCCAAATACCAAATGGAGTGGAGACTTTGGGGGTCCCCTGTGGTTGGGGGGCACTTTGGAAATGCGATGGGAACCTATGCCAAGACCTGTGTAGAGCATGTTGCAACACTAATATGTAACGGATTGTCAAATGGTGTGATCTTGGAGATGGTGGTTCAATTGGGCTTGGAGTTCTGAAATCAAGTCTTTGGCACATGCATTGGGTGTTGATCACACCACCTGTTCTCAGTTCAAGTCTGGTTGCTTGGCAATTGAAAAGAAACAATGTCCAGCATAGACATCCTTCTCAACTTCCTACTAATTTCCCTAAGTCCTTCACAAAGGTCATTTCTACTACCTTAAGGCTTCTTTGATCCAACCTAAAAGTGCCTATATTTTTGGGGCACCTCTTGTTGGATCAATGCTTTCGAACATCTCTTCAGAAGCGCAGCCTCTCCCATTGCTATGTCCGGTTCCTTTTTTTACTAGCATTAGGTTCCTAGCCTAGGTTCCGTTCGCCTCTTCAGGCAGTCTGAAGAACAACACTCATAGCGGCTCCTCACTGCGTTGGGAACCTGACCTCGGCATCAAGTGACCGACCTGACTCGGCACGAGTCAGGGGGAGAATCCCACATCCGTTGAAAAACCACGGGATAATCACATGTCTTTCCCGTGTTTTGTCTATGTACAGTATATATACATGTAAACATGCATATGCATAGACATTTTCCAATTAAGACAAACACTATATCATGATTATACAGATTTTACTGGGAAGATTGAGCCGCTGTTTGGTCAAAACAGACAAAGCTTTTCATAGCTTTTCCATTGCTTTCCCTTTTTCTCTGGTCCGGTCGACACCGAGCTCGTTTGGGGGATGACATCGGCTCGTTTGGACCTTCAGAGTGAAAGGTCTCAAGGCAAGGCACTGAGCAGGATCCATATCGCAAAGCCAATAAACCTCAGGGGCCACCATCACCTATGACTTAGAGGTGGCACCAAAGAAGCGGTGAAAGAAGCCCCAAACAAGGGAGATCTGAAAAAAATCTGAAAAACACGTTAGCATTTACTGCAACAATTGGTTGTTTTGTTGAAGGGAAAACAGGTGATGTTGCTATTATGGACCACCTCCACTAACTGTGCTCATAATGTGCTCACACACACATCCACCCCCGCTCGCCCACAAAAATGAGATATGTACAAGCAGTATTCTGAGACGGATCTGAGAGGTGACTGATGAGTGAGAGTAAGAGTGAACACCCTTCATCCCACCCAGATCATGCTATCCCGATGTGAGCCATCAAAGATGTGGCGGGGAAACATCACCACAGTGATACCTGATTTTTAAACTGGGACCTTCCTGTGATCACCCAATCTATTTCCGTTCAGCACCTGTCTCTGTCTCTCGCGCCCTGTCGAGAAGGCAGGTGGTTAGGAGGGTGTAGGACTTGTTTGGAGGACCCGCTCCAATGTAAACCTCCACTAATCAGTGGAAGGCACCCAGCTGAGTTGCATCACCAAGCGGTTGACCCTCCCAAAACGAACAAAAACCCACCACGGGGAGGACCACATTTGATCAACCTACCAGACTTGATTCGATCCGTTTCTGTTTCGAGTTTGTTCCGCCTCAACTTGAGGTTGCTGCGGTTGGCGCCCTTGCGGTAGATCCACACCAACATCAGCACCACCGTGGCTTGAACCGCCACGATGCCCTGCTCGCCCCAGCCAGCCACGGGATAACCCTTCAGCAAGTTGTAGTAGGAGAAGCTACTTGCAGCGATCGCATCCTTGGCTAGTTGCAATGGTCATTAAAGAAAAACATGTGTTCCTTTGTTTCAGATTTGAGATGATTTGAGGTTAGAAAGCTGCTCGGCAAGCTTCGATGACCTGCACCTGAATAACTCCTTGAAGGGTGTGTGCAACAAAAGGATTCATTACAACTTGGACAAATAACATCCAGCAACTGGCCGCCTGGGACGTGACGCTTTCATCAGCAAGCCTCGACCGTGTCGTCCTTCTGTTGAAAGGCGTGCGAAAACATCCTGAAACTCTAAAAACATCTTATCGTTGTGATATCTTTTTATACCACAGCCAGCACTACGACCAGGTCATTGTCAGAAATGCCAGATTGGATGATACATGATGGTACAGGAAAAGCATGGCAACACCAAGTGAAAATGCCTCGTGTTCCGCTGATATTGGTCGTTTCATGCTAGGCCTTCGTTGAAACCTTTGAGACCGCTGTGTTGAAACACGCCAATTCAGTCTACATGTTCAAATAGCTTAACCGTCCACCGTCTTGGGCCAGAAAGGCTGTGATCGTATATATATATATATATATATATATATTAACACCTTAAATTCATCGTCTCACGTTTGATCCTTTCGTTCGCCATCGATTCATGCCAACGGCGCCGCGCAACCATCGCCAACCAGCCCCACATGCGCAACCTCTTGGGGTCCAAGGCGCCAGGGCACAAGCGGCCTCCGACAGACCTTCGGCGCTCGACTGGGAGACGATGAGAAAAATCTGAGGGACCTTTACGATGCACGCGCCCGCGATGACGGCGTAGCCCAGCCACGCGGCCAACACATCGGCCAGCACCATGGCGAGAACAGGAAAATACACGATCCGAACAGAAAGGATACGAGAAACGGTCTGCAATCAGTGAAGATGTGCTGGTTGATCATGGTTGATCTGCGTCATGTTGCTCTCCAAGAAACCATTGGTTGATGATATGTATTGATGATGTTCTGCCGATCTTGTAATGGCACGAAAATGATGAGTACACAATATGACAACAACAGGCTGGAGCGGGTGGGGACATACGGCTGCTCCTTCTATATACACCTATTCATACAAAATAACTTTCCAAGATAAAGGAAAGTGGTTTGATTGTACACATATCGGAGAGTCCAAACCCATGCCAGTGTTCCGATCCAAATCCGGAATCACCTGCCATCATATTTTGAGCGGCTGGAATAGGGAGTCTACCCACTTGAGGTGGCTTTAGAAGATGATGTTCTTTCTTTAAAACCCTGATCAAGCCGTGCCAGAAACTTGATCCTATCCTGCAGTGGTCACGGGTTCTATTCACCTTGAGACTTGGCTGCTGCGATGTTGCTGGATAGGATTGCTTGTCCACGTGGAAAGCTCATCTTGATTTTTGGGATCCTCTGGGAGCATTGGAAACCAACATGGCCACAAAAAACATGACATATATATATATATGTATTATACATATCTAGCATCAATCCCACAGACATTCCCAATGTCCAGGGCTTTGTTCTCATGGCCTTCATCCATAATTACAACTCCGCAGTTTAGCGTTGATGAACCAGCTCGAAATTAGGAAATCGAGCAATTGTTCATATTTTTCCCTTTCATCCCCACTAAGACTGAGACCATATGTGGACTATCCAATGATCCCGAGTAGAACGAACAACAAATGTGAACAGGTGGAATCGTGTGAATCTACATACGTGCAGCATTTTTCAAACAAGTCGATGACGCAAAACGCGAGAGGTGCTTTATCATCATTTGTGATCCATCTCAAGGTCATCTAGAACTTTGCACCATCTGGTTGGTAGTTCGTTTTTTGAAGAAATGATTGGTATGGATCTATCAAGAAAAACAGGGTTGAAGATGAAGCAAAACACAAACGGACATCGACGAACACCCCGGCTGGCTGCGATCGGCCACCTCTGCCGCGATCGGCACCACCGGCTGCGATCGGCTGAGAGGGTCGATACGGCCTGGACGGTCGATTCGGCTTAGAGGTTCCAAACGAAGAGAAACCGTGCGGTTGTTCTTAGGGCAACAAAAACTGGAAGACATACTCCAAGATACTTGAAGACACCACACTCTTTTGTTGACTTTTAAAGGTTTGTAGGTGATCCAATATAGCTATATATAGTAGCGATATTGCTGGGGAGATGGAGATCGATAGTGAAGGGAGAAAACTGGAAGAGAACACACTTTTCTTAGTTGGTTGATACTGGTTGAGAGGGCAACATTTGACGCATTTGATGTTCCGGAATTGTTATTGATCTCATCGTTGTTCATCCGGGGGGACTCTCTGATTTCATCTGATTTCTATGACTCCGAAACTCTGGAGGCCAATGGTCATCTACTTGGATGATCGAGTGGATCTGCTCCAGCGATCCACGTGCAAAGGAAACTCTGCTTCAAGGCAGCATACCTGTCAGAAGGGAAAGAAGCCAAGAGTGATCGGACATGTTGCCTGCAAGAGTCCTCAACAACCCCAAATGGCCAGAGTTCATGCTCTGCTAGACCGGGCTGCCTGCATTGCAAAGGATGAACCTTCAGCAAGACTCGCAAGACCTTTGAGGCGAACGACCGGATAACTTCTTGAGAGCTCCAGTGAATTGGACTCCCGAACTCCTTCCTGGACGGGTCAGGTCTCCCGCGTCCAACCCATCCCAGCTCGCCTGGATGAGGCGGAGATGGACCACATGCCGACGCCTGTCTCCCCAAACAGGAAGCTGACGGTGGGGTGGGATGCTCCGCGTGGTCTGGCAGCTTTGAGGCGTGTTGAGTCCTTTTTTTTGTATGTCGGTGAGAATAGAACTTCTGCACCACCTGGGGCACCAAGGTCCCAAGGTTCCCTCTGTTCGTGGAAGAAACGTGCACCAGATAAACAACCGATATGGTAGAACATTGAGAGCCAAAGACTCAAGAGCCACAGGACATCTGAGAGCAGGGAAATTACAGTAGATGACAGCTTGAAAGGGTGACAAGGTGGCGGTCCAGTTGAATGGAAGAAAGACATATTGCAAATAAAGCCCTTCTCCCTCGAGAAAGAGCAGAACACCTGACTAGATGTTTTAAGAATCGTTTAAGGTATATTTCTCGTATTTGCAAGCTCCGTGAGAGGGCAAACAATAAGGCGAAGACACTAGCTTTTCAGCTCAATTCATAGTTCTTGGATTTGAAATACCACCATAAAGCAAGAAGACCTCCCAGTCCAAGAAGTGTTCCTGCTCGTTCATCTTTATATAGACAATTTATGCAGTGAACTCATCACATGCATGTGTGAAACATACAGCAAAAGTCACAGAGATGCTTCTGTTCAACTGAGCCCCCTTTTGAAGCAACATACACCTCTTAGTGTCCGGTTTGACCAGCGCAATGCCCTGGCAGAAGTCCAACTCAACTTTTGAGCGGAGCACCATCTGCTTGGCACTGCAGCAAGTAACGACATCTTTAGCTCGAACAGATCGCCCTTCGAGCGTTACGAATGCGGGTAGTGTGGGTCATCGTGGGTCCCTTAATGATTCATCTTGGGCACAAAATGGTTGGTTTCAACTTGAAACATATCAGTCGTAACATATCTCACCATCCCAAGGTTCCAAGGTTGAAGATCCAAATACCTGAAACAACCACCCAGCACTTGCTATCACAGTCTCTCGCGACGACCCCACCTGCTTCAGACCCGACCCGTTTTCTGACACACGAAAACGACGGACCCCCTCACGGATCCGTTTGCCGAAACGTCTCTGGGATCCCAAACGGTCTCAGCCTGAAAAGGGACCAACAAGCCAATGAGCTTGGCGAGAGAACCAGCTGATTGACAGCTCCAGCTGGGAGCGTTTTGCGAGGAGAATCAGCTCCAACCAGATGCTTTTTGATGGGTGTCAATGGATGTTAAAACTTGTTGAAGCTGGTTCCAGCTGGTGGTGGATACTCAATTTCAGCAGCATCCTAAGGATGCAGGGAAATCGGAAGGGAGGCTGGGACAGACTCAGCTGGAATGAGCCTTGTTGGACCGGGCCAACTTGTCTAAAAGCGTTCAAAGAGATTTCCAAACGGTTTTCCAATGATGTCAACATGGGTATGGGACAAATGATATACAGTATACGCGTGTAGTTGATACTTCTCCCAATCCAAAAATTTTCCATACAGAACCAGTGGTTTCTATTGTGTTTCGCAGTCCTTCTTAGACCATCTAAGCCTGGGAAACACAGCTGATCCAAAGCAGTCCAGAATAGATCTCACCCACAGGGGAGTCCTGCATTACACAGCAAAACTGGCATGGGTAATTAGCCGACTACCACGATGGCCTCCAGGAACACAAATAGTTACCTTGACATAGTTACCTTGAAACTCAAACACTGGAAATTCATGGAAGTTAACTCATTGAAACCAACACTTCAGGAACAGGTTTCGTTTGGGACACCATCCAGCTACCTTTGGGTGTTTTCATCCAGTCCAGGTGTACTAATACCACACCAGCCAACCTACCTGCGCGGGCGCCGCGCGAGCGGCTGGCGTGAAGGTTGAACGACACCTCGGAGTGACTCCGACACCGTGTCTGTCCCTGTTTTGGAGATTCTTCGAGGGTTGTTGCAGCCCGTCTTTGTTCGGTGCTGTTGGGTTCCCCAGTTCAGTACGCAAAGACTACATTGACGAATTCCACTCATTGGGCGAACCGAAGGATGACCGTGGGAGGAACCGCAGAGTCCAAACCGCGTGTTCCTGGGTCGAGCGCGGGAGTCCCGTGAGCGCAGGAGGCATGGAGACATGTCTGCCGTTACGGCTGCCAATGCCACAAAAGTTGTTGAACAGTAGATCCTTTACTCCTGTCTGACCGTCAATCATTTTCCGGGAAAAGCGTGAGTCTGAGGATTTGGCCTGGGCTGATCTCCTCGCTACATATGACGCTCTGCCTCAACCCCTGCTCGGAGGTATATCCGGCGATGCCGTACTTGATAGCCACCTAAATGGGTCCAGGACCTGATTCCGCCCAAAGGGTCTTCACCTTCGGATTGCCGAAGTCTTCTATAGAAGGGTGACTCACCCACGTACCTACCGACCTACCTACTTACCTACCTACCTAACGTTACATTACATTAAAGTCCGTTACATTGCAAAACATCACATTATATCACATTATATATACCTGGAAACTCGAAAAGGCTCTAACATAAGCCTTTCCAGAAATATCAGTATATCAGTTTTCGAGACCTTGCGGGCTGTTTTCCAGATTGCGTGCGAAACTTCAATCTCGGCTCAAACCGCCTGTAGCCTGATGTGGATCCACCTTGAAGGTACCACCTGCCTTTCCCCACTTACAGTGCATGATTTTGCATTACTCTTGCACGAGCATTGTTGCATGTTTTTGGATTCAGTGATAGTTTTCGGGATCAGGATTGTAGTTGGATGGTAGCTATACAAAAACGAACTCAGACTGTTGGATTGTAGTTGGAACAACTTCAGGCTGCTTTGGAAAAACTTTGGTGACGAATGCACGCGAAATAATAGGGGTTCGGGCGAAATTTCGCGAGACACGAGCGAAACTTCACGAACCACCTGTGTGGGGTTGATTTCTTGCGGGCTCTTTTTCGTGTATTGGCATGTATTGGCATGCTGTGCGCACATCGTTTGGGAAAAACACCGGTTTTTTGAGTGGTAGTATTTTTGGACATGATTCTCGGATTCGTTGTGTTATCACCATGGAATTCCCCCAGAAATGATATGATAACTAAAGCGGCTCGCGTGGATGTTGAAAAAT